CCGGACACGAACTCAGGCACGAACCCAGCCACGAAATAGACACGAAGCGGACACGAACCAGACACGAACCGGACACGCACCAGACACGAACCGGACACGCACCAGACACAAACCCAACATGAACCCAAACACTACATAACCAGACACGAACCCGGACACGAACCAGACAGGAACCCAACAGGAATGGCGATTGAACTGCTTCGCAACTTGCAGGCCTATGCGGAGCTCATAAAGGTATTTATAAGTGCATCGGCGTTGGCATCGTTGATTAGAGGTATGAACTCCAAACGCTTGGGTGTCGAAAGCATGAGGATAGCAGGGTCCAGCCAGCGGCTATCACGTGAAGAGTCCGTTATAACGCCTGCAAGAAATCTGCCGAATTTTATTGCCGCGAGAATGTCATTCTAAAATCTGTAGAATTGCATTACCGCGAGAATGCCACCCTGAAGCTACCAAAATTTCGAAGCTTTTAATACCGCGAGATTTCCTAAAGCTACCAACATCTCCGGGATTTTAATACCGCGAGAGAGGTGTTCGAGCAACTCAAACTTCCAGGATTGTAGTCATGCGAGACAACCATGCAAGAGGTTATCCCTCAGTCGGCGATGACCGTTCACCACATACCTTAAATACAGCCCCTCTTTTGGTGATAACGGCTCATCATATCTTCAACACGCCCCCTCATTCGGCGATTCCGGTTCACCAGATATCTTTAAACGCGCTTGTATTCGACGATAACCGTTCACACAATATCAAATACGCCCCTCTTTTGGCGGTTCCGTTTCAACATATTATATCTTTAACACGCCCCCTCTTTTGGTGATAACGGCTCATCATCTATCTTAAACACACCCCCTCATTCGTTCCGGTTCATCATATATCTTAAACACGCCCCCTCTATTGGCGATTCCGAGTCTCCGGTACCCCATGCTCACTGGTTGCAGGTGCAACGCCAGATCAACAGCCCGACTGACTAGAAGATTGACGGACTGACAGACTGATTGACAGACAGCTAGACTGATTGACGGCTCGGTTGGCAGACGGACTGACTGGCTAACCGACTCACCGCTGGACGACCGACTGACTGACTGACTGACTGACTGACTGACTGGCTGGCTGGCTGCCTGACTGACTGACCGCGCGGTTGGCTGACCGACTGACTGACTGACTGCCTGGCTGGCTGGCTGACTGACTGACTCGCGTACCCTCCGAACCGAAAACCATAAAAAATACCCAAAAAAACAATAAAAAATACCCAAAAAGAACCCCCAACCATTCTGAAATGAATCAATCGATGATCTCAGATTCCTTTTTCGCCGAAATATTCTAAAGACTCTCATATAATCATATATTTATTCAATTTCCTCAATTTAACCTCGTACTACTAACATGAGACATAACAATAATACTAACATCATTAGATTTACCCCCATCGAACCCCAAAAAAGGTTTTATAGATCCAACGCAACCCAGAAAATAATGTCATTGCCCATGTAGTCTAATATTCCCAAGGCAAGGGTATCCAATTTCCCTTTATAGCATAGATAGTATATTTCAGAGACACACACATGTACGTGTATACATATATATATATACATATATATATATATACATATATATATATATATGTCGTGATGAAATATTCCATAATTACGGAAATCATATGTTCTGCATTATAAATAACTTATATATATATATATGTCAAAACAAGAACTATTCTAAATCTACAGGTCTTACTCATATGACTATATTATGCGTTCAATGGATCCCTTTCTCTTACTTATATGATCTGTACATATATATGTATAGTTATTTCTTTGTTTGTTTACAAATATCGGAAACTTAGATGTTTTTCTGGCACCAGGACCATCATGGAGGGGCCATTTAGTTGATTGAGATCGCTGCCTCGTCCGTTTCCACCGGCGATGACCGTCCCGCAAGTTGCTCCTGGCGGAAACTGCAGAAACACTTGAAGGTACTTCAACTTAAAGCCCTCCCAGCACGCATCCAACGGCGCTCCAGGCATCCAGCGAGTCACTCGGTTGCTGCCAGCCTCCTTACACACCAGAGCTTCTTTGGGCAACTTCGCTCGGTACTGGGAAAACCTTTAGGAGACGTTCTGCCAGGTGTCTGCGACATAGATACTACCGTCCGTAGCATCATAGCAAAGTCCACTTGGGGTTTCAAGCTCCGGTAGAGAGCCCACCCCTCCGACAACGATTTCACAGCGTGTCATCCCAGGTGTCCAGCGGCTCACGCGATGGTTCCCCGCCTCTGCCACCAAGACGCTGACGCCATCTTTGGATTCTTGAAGGCAGATCGCAGTCGGCGAGGACAGCTGCTCCAGTGCATCGCCAGAGCCCCTCCCACCCGCAATGACTTCACATGTCTTGTCCTTCCAACGGGTCACCCTGTCGTTGCCAAGCTCTGCCACATACAGGACACCTGACTGGTGAAGTCTGCCAAAAAACACCGAGCTCAGACCCTCCTCCCCTGAACCCAACTAATTGCTGTCCAGGGAACGGGAACGACGTGTTCAAGCTAGGTTTACATGACGTGGCATGACCGGCAGGGTGCAGTGCTGCTTCTTGAGTTGCCAAGTTCGAGTCTCGTGACCGGACGCTTTCCCGAGTTGGGGGAAGAAAGCCGAGACCAGAGGCGAATCACCATCATTACTTCGAACAGATTAACAGTTTAACCCTCATCGCCCCGAAATCAGACAAACTTGTTGTTCCTGCATCGCTGCATCCTTCGGTCCCTGGTAATTCCACCCTCCGAAGCATAGAGAAACGGCCGAAGCCAAGAAACCCGTAGAGTCGACGGCCACGTCCACCGGGCGATCCAACTGATCCAAGCCATCTCCCGGGCCACGGCCACCGGCTACAACGCAGGCGTCCTGAAAATCCTGATTCCAGCAGCTAACAGCATGCCCTCGAACATCTGCGACGTACATCTCGCCCCTGTGGCCGAGGCAGATGCCACCAGGCTCCTCCAGTTCGCCAACGCCTCTGTCGCACTCCCGGGCCTCGCCAACGACGGTTTGGCCGCCGCCTGCTAAGGCTCCCGGACCCTCCCGTGGGCACCATCGGGTGACACGACGGTTTCCAGCTTCTGCAACATAGAAAACGCCATGCTCGTCGAAGGCAAGACCCTTGGGCCCAGCGAGCTGGCCAAGCCCAGAGCCTCGCCCAAATCCCCCGACCACAATCCTTCCACCAGATCCCTGGCCCTCCAAATCCCAGCGGGTCACACGGTGGTTGTTTACCTCACTGACGTAAAGTCCTGGAGTTCTTTTGCACCTTTCCAGCGGGAATCTCTTCAAACTCGGCTCCAACACTGCAGTGAACTCCAGAGCTCCGTCTGCGCATTGGCCATGCTCAAACGCCGCGCCCTCGATCGTGAGAGTCTCACGGACCAGCAACCTGGAAGTCAAGCAGAGCTACCAAAGTCCTACATCAACTAAGCTAGCTAAGAAAGATGTCCTACACTTAGACAAGTTGCACCCCATTGAGCAGCAGCTGAACCTCAGTTCGCCAAGCTGACACACGAGCCAGCAGGGCAAAATGTATGAGCAGCATCTGCCATGTACTGCTTGCTTGATGTCCTGTTGTGCGTCGAATCAGGAACCCTGCTGACATGTCGTGCAAAGTCATTTCCTGGAGGGATCTCTCGCACCTCACACGGCAAATACGTTATGCTCACCGACCACGACAGCTGAACGCCGCAATGCCGTATGGAAAGAAAGCTCAGGACACAGACGAATAGTAGCGGCAGGAGGGTTCAGGGAGAACAAGAAGACTGCCGTTTCGATAAATGAACTGCTCAAAATAGCATCTATATGCAGTGTCTTCTGTCTTTGTGAATGGAGTGGAAGCGGGCAATGTCTGCAACACCTCAGGGAGAACTGGAGAGAGTTTCGAAAGGTCATGTCGCTCTCAATGTTAACATACGGCTACGTCCGGAAACTGTCTCCCTGTCGAGTCACTGTTTCCGAGCTCTGCTCACGCGAAGCAGCTACAAGCTGCCGCAACTCATCGCAGAGTGTGTTCGAAGGAAGTGTCCTGGCGAAGATAACTTCACCTGAAAGGGCCCGCACACTCACGCTTCTGCCCTCCATTCCCTTTTTGGGACAGTCCCTGGGCCCCTTGGGGGCCGTGGCCTTGAGCCGATGGTGGATACGGCGAATCCGTTCGTGCACCGCTGGACGTCAGAGTCTGAATATTTCGATGCAAGCGCTCCGGAAACACTTTCTTGCATCGCCGACGGCTCAGATGCAAGCGAGCAATTTCCAGCATGCCTCCTTTCTGATCCCCCCTCTGACCATTTGTAGCAGTAGCACGTAAAATCTGCTTAATACCGGAGACTCTAGGCCCTAGGCTGCAGGGTGATGCGGAAATGCCCTTTTCACGGTCTGAAGGGAGTTGCTGCTCTGCTCGAAGTCATTGGCGATGATAACACAACCATAGTTTGGCAGAATGTGGGTTCGGCAATTAGGATTCAAATCGTCAAGATCCCACATTTTGCCTCTTGCTTCCTGAAGCGTTGCAAGATCTTGGGGGTATTGTCGTGACTTTGGGACTCATGTTTCAATCTGTTTCGCTGAGTTGATTGCACTCCGCTTCACAGGTGACACCAAAGTGCACACGGCATCCACGGTCTCCAGCCAGACTGTCAAGGACAGCAGCTTTGAGATATCGAAATTGGCACGGCTTATAGCTGCAAGAGCCTGGATGGCGAGAGAAGCCATGTGTGTTCCGCCGGCAGCGTCAGCAGCATCAGCCATAGGCCTGACGGGCCACTACCTGGTCACGAGAGCCACAAAGAAGCAGAACACCTTCTGAGACTGCTATGCATACGATGCATGTGTCCCAGTCTGACATACATGTCTCTTTCTTCCGACTCCAATGTAATGAAGATCCTGTGCACCGACTCTCGCAGGGCAAAACGGCCGCGAACTCTCGCGATTAACTTGGCTAGACGGCCTTCGGTGGTAGAGTGACCAGCTGACGCGCGGAGCAACCTGTGCGAAAACTGCGGCAGGGTTGCAAACGGGGGTGCGGTCTTCCTCATCCAAGCAACGCTCTCCTACAGCACATCGCTCTGTAAGACTCTAAGAATAGACTGATGAAAACTGTGAGCATGGTGTCGCAGCCAGCAGGGAACAGCGTGAGAAGGTTGGGTCCGTCTGGAGGAGTGACTGAGGGCTGCGCTCAATGAGCTTTGCACTGGAGTGGCCATAGTCGCCTGCATCTATCTATCGCCAGCCATCTGCAAGACTACCGCTCTGAGGACCAAGCGGGTGCATACTGCATGGAAACGGGAGCCGCAGCAGGCGCCTGCAGCAAAGACATGAAGAGTGTCACACAGGCAGGAGCCGAGCTTTGCTGTGCCTGAACGGTTTGCGACGGCCTCTCCAACAAGCCAGAGAAAAACTTTTGTTAAAACGGAGGGTCGGATCTAAGCTTCGTGCGGAAGGGACACCATCTGCGGCATCGCAGAAGGTCCTAGGACGTCACCTCGCTCCTCACAAAAAGGCCACTGACGCCTTGCAGACTAGGGAATTGAGGCTTTCGTCAGAGTTCTGTCCTTCAGCTGCCTCTGCCATTCGGCGGTCATCTTGGTTTTTGACTCGTTCTGGTGTCTCTCCACCTGCATACTTTGATGCAAGCTGCAGTTTGTTCCAATGAGTCTCGTACCGACTTGGACACGGAACCGCTGCCTGCGCCTACTAAGAGATCTGCTATGCATCACAGACAGACCATATGAGTGCATCGTGGTCAGGCTAAAGCATGTCCAAAACTCCATATCCGCGACTGGCCGAGTTTTTCTCCGAAGAACTCTAAACGTGTCAACAGCCACAAAAGTATCGGTATAGACGGGATATTCTAGACAACCCTGTTCCAGCAAGCATGAAAGGAATGCGGAGCATGAATGCATGTACCTTTGTCGGACGAGAGCTCATGTTGTGGGCATAGCGAGGCAGGCAGACATAGAGACATGGATACTAATGATGCAGTACAAATCCCTTTGTCGACCGACATTGGCCTCGGTCCGAAGCTTGCTGTGCGAGTCCAAATACTGCCTGAGGTCGGGCCATACGGATCTGGGTTCACGCGAACTCAATTGCTCGTTGGTAAGAAGATCTTGGGCATGGGTGTCTCTGGAAGCCTGTGCATCTCTGCTTGAGTTGCGGCGAACTCTTCGTGCATCTTCCTCCACTCAAGCGCGCTGCGGAAAGATCTGTGGAACTCACTGTCTTCTCATGGCCTCTGCTGATACTCCAGCGTCAGCGACCTGCGCTCATGATACATGCGTTCGATCAGGAGGTTGCGACAGAATTGAAACTGTGGATTCCAACATCATGAGGCCGGCACGCCGCTTGTTGCTCTAAGGCAGCCCTGGCACCAAACCGAGAAAGGACGTGAAAAGTTGCAGGTTACGAGAAGCGTGGCCATCAGCTTTCGGAAGGGCTTATGGGGTTATTTAATGCGATGAACGGCTTTTGCAAAGATTCTGTGGGGTTCAGGGCGTCCCTGGATTGCTTTGCCATTGACTCTCAAGTATCGCTGCCTCCGGCGGGACAGCTACAAGGTTTGGGCGTCGGAATGGCAGCAATCGGTCGGCCTCTGGTCCAACGCCGCTTTTTTCAGACCCATCCTCAGAAAACTCGACTCGACGAGGCTTTCAGGCAGCTGCCCTGAGCGCCACGCATCGCCTGATTGGTCTGCTCATCCAGGGCCATCTCCTGTCCAGGAAGTACTTTGCGTGGCCGCTCTGGGGCGACCCAGCCCCCGGGCACCTGCATCTTCACCTGCTGATCCATGTGAAGCCTCAATTTTGTTTGTATTGCAGGAAGGCAAAAAGAATCCAAGCATAAGATCCCGAGCTCCTGGCAGCAAAGCTTGCTTCTGCTGCTCTGCCGCCTTAGAGGCAGAGCAGAAACAGCACAAACCAGCTTGGTAGTTATAAGTGGGGTTATAAGTCCCCTAATATGGGTCATAAGTATAGCTATCCTACTTATAACTCTACGTTTTTTGCCTCTCTCATGAGAGGATCCGACCTCATGGAGCTGCTTCTTCCTCTCGATGTTTTGCCTGGCGGAAGCTGAACCCCACGGAATCTGTAGGCATGAAGCGAAGGCATCAAGGAGCCGAGTGCACGATTACGGTAATATGGTGTTGCAGAGGCTCTTCACTTCGCGACTTTCTGTTGGATTGCAGTGTCTTGTCGGACCATGTGCAGTCCACTAGAGAACTCGAAGTTGGTTCTGGCTCCTGAGACTGCCATCCGCAGTGGGGAAAACTGATTATTGCGATGCCGGCAGCCGGCAGCCGCCACAATTAACACCAGACTATGCACCCAATTTCTCGCGAAGACAAGGGTGTTCTCAAAGGTAGTTCGGCAACATTGACACAAGCAGCACCGGCACAGTGGTTGGGGCAGAATCCTTCAGAGGACATAATCAGAACTACGGACGCGTCCCGGACCAATGGCTTCTAATGTCAGCTGAACAAGTGCTGACCCTCAGAAAACCGACAAAGCTCAAACTTGCAATGCCCACTGCTGCAACGACTTGTTCCCTTCCTCGAGTTGTAGGTCCAGGCTCCTGCAGCACTCTCAGGGCATCACGAAGCTGCACAGCATGCCTTCGACAGACCACATCTCCTGCAGTAGGCCTTCTTCTGCTCTTCTATGGATGCTGGATCCGGGAAGCCACGAGTGTAAGGTCCCTTGGCATCTTTGGATGGACCGCGAGCGACCACAGTCACTCAGCTCCAGGCATCTAGATCGTCACTGCTCGCCGGGGATGCCTTGTGCTAACATTCGCCGCGCTGGCCATGACTATGTACGCTTGCCCCAAGCTTGTGCCATTGAGCGTGCTGCAGCATCATTCTGGGAGCCTGGAGCGGCAACCGACGGACGCTGAAGATTTGCTGGAGTCTTTCAGCCAAGAGACCCGAGACGGGAGCAGCATACACCTTACGAGGGCTTAACTGCCAAGTTCACAGCTCTATCATTGGCTCACAATTCCGTGCAGGTGAGGCCGTCGCAGGTCCAGCTTGTGCAGGCATCGGCATTGCCAAGGAGCCACTTGGACCAGCCTGAAAGCGACTTAGATCTTCCCGTGCATCTCAAGCTATCCAGGACCACATTTGCAGAGTATCCCCAACAAGTTATGGCCGAACCTCTCCGGCGCTGAGAGTTCATTTTTTTCGAGGGGCCCTGGTTCGAGCTATGGTTCCAATAGAATCTTTGGCCGAGGAGTACAAACTTAAAGAGATTGTGTCGGTTCACACCAAGCTTGCAGTACATTGCTGCCAGAACAAGCATTGCAACTCTGCCGACGAGGCCTGTGAGCTAACACAGGGATAATGGGTATCGGCGCACACAAAGTAAACTTCAGTCGATCTCCCCCTCATGTCTTGACTACATGTCGGTATCTCGCATGTGCTCTATAACTACTCCAACGTTCTGAGCAGCTCGTTTCTGTGATTTGGTGGATTGCATATTCCTGCTAGGCCCCTTATGCTACACATCATCTTGATTCAAGCATTCTGTACATGTTTGTTTCAGCTCATCTTGCCTTTTCCATTGCTCAGCGTCAATGACCCTTGTTCACCCGTTTCGGACAATCACCTTGGTGTCACCAATGTCTTTTGACGGGTGCTTGTCGTGTTTCCATGCTTCGCACATTATGGACCTTCCAACTACGCCCTAAGTATGCGAAGCTGCTGGGGATGCCTCAGGTCAATGTGCCAACGCCCCGCGAGAATTGAGCAATCTAGTTGAGTCTCTCTAAGCTGCAGGCCATCATGGCTGGACCAGCACTGGCGAAGCCTTACTAGAAGAGGCAAGCATGATTCAGATGTTGAAATCGAAACTGCTTCACTGCAGCCCGCCTGAGTCAGGACGACTGCAGCTCGTAAGCAATACAGCTCATGCTCTCAGCAACAGCAGGAGCAACAACAACAATGACAAAATCAGTCAAGCACGCCTCCTGCTGTTTCTGCTGCTGTTGTTACTACCACCCCCGCCACCACCAACACCACCACCACCACTACTACTGCTACTGCTACTACTACGGCTACTACTACTGCTACTATTACTTACTACTACTACTACTACTACTACTACTACTACTACTACTACTACTACTACTACTACTACTACTACTACTACTACTACTACTACTACTACTACTCCTACTACTACTACTACTACTACTACTACTACTACTACTACTACTACTACTACTACTACTACTACTACTACTACTACTACTACTACTACTACTACTACTACTACTACTACTACTACTACTACTACTACTACTACTACTGCTACTACTACTACTACTACTACTACTACTACTACTACTACTACTACTACTACTACTACTACTACTACTACTACTACTACTACTACTACTACTCCTACTCCTACTCCTACTACTACTGCTACTGCTACTACTGCTACTACTGCTACTGCTGCTGCTGCTACTACTACTACTTGCTACTTGCTACTTGCTACTTGCTACTTGCTACTTGCTACTTGCTACTTGCTACTTGCTACTTGCTACTTGCTACTTGCTACTTGCTACTAGCTACTACTACTACTACTACTGCTGCTACTACTACTACCACTACCACTACCACTACCACTGCCACTGCCACTGCCACTGCCACTGCCACTGCCACTACCACTACCACTATTACTACTTCAACCACCACGACGACTACTACCACTGCCACTGCCACTGCCACTACCACTACCACTACCACTACTACTACTTCTACCACCACGACGACCACTACCACTACCACTACCACCTACCACTACCACTACCACTGCCACTGCCACTGCCACTGCCACTGCCACTGCCACTGCCACTGCCACTACCACTACCACTGCGACTACCACTACGACTACCGCTACGACTGCGACTACGACTGCGACTACGACTACTACCACGACTACTACTACGACTACTACTACTGCTGCTACTACTACTACTGCTACTGCTACTGCTACTGCTACTGCTACTGCTACTGCTACTGCTACTGCTACTGCTACTGCTACTGCTACTGCTACTGCTGCTACTGCTACTGCTCCTGCTCCTGCTACTGCTCCTGCTCCTGCTACTGCTACTGCTACTGCTACTGCTAATACCAATAACAATAAGACGAAAAGAAGACGAAGACATTTCCTTTCTGAGTCGAGTACTACATCGTGACTTAAATAGTTGGCAGATGGGAGGGGTGTCAAAGATCCTGGACTAGGAAGAACCGGTTGGAGTGATCCCAAGAAGTTAGCAATTGTCTCATCTAAACATTTGCAGGGGTTCGGTTGTTGAAACCATGCAGTGCTCTTCCCAGCCACCTTCGCACAGAAATCTGAGTGAGACAGAACTTCTACCAAATACAGCTCAGTTGCTCATGGGCATTGGTGCCGCCATGTAGGTTCCGGGTGCCTGCGATGATCTCAAGCCGGAACATGTTCAGTTTTGATGTTCTGAAGAGGCCCGAAACCACGCCAGCAGGACCGAGCAATGTGAGCCCGGCATTACTGGCAGCGTTGTGGGCATCACCTGACACAGCAAGTCTGGCTGCAGAGCCGTTACAAAAAGGCACTTATCTGGACTTTCGCAAGCACGGACAGATGTGACGGACCACCTGCCCAGCGCAATAACCGGCAGGCACTGCCGAAATGGACCTTGAAGGGACGTTCTTCAACGCGTCTAACAGCATCGCTATCCCCATGGTAGTGAGAGTCGCATGCCACGCGGCGCAAGTATTGGCAGAGATTGTCTCTGAGAGTGAGGCATCCTGACCTCCGTAACAACCAATGCCTTCAGCGCATGCGTCGCAGCTTGCGATGGTAGTCAGAATCAACGCCGCTTAGCCCGCCTCGGCTGCAGAGAGGTGCGACTTTGAGTCTTGAGCCCAAATTGCAGGCGGCAGTTGAGAAGAGTGTGGACGCCACAGTGCGAGCCAAAGGCCCAAGATGTCTCAAGGCCCTCTTTTCGCGGGACCGTCAGTAAGGAGCTGCCCTTTCAGAAGGAACGCCCGGCGGTCGCACCTTGAAAAGGTGGACAAAGAAAGCAGAAATCCCGGGTCCCCTGCATGAACCAAGGCAGTGACCGGAGAGAAACCTGCATCCTGTCCCAGGCTCTGCTCTGCCGTGTGCTGCCACATCTTGACTGAGCAGAGTGCCTCGCTGGCAGAGAGGCCCACACCCTCCAGGATCGCCTCCTTGGCCTACCATGAAACTAAGCAGATTTTGAAGCCGACGGAGCTGGGGGCTCTGAAGTGCCCCCACGACCCGCACACCCTGGGCCTGAAGTTTGCCGCTCTCCCCGACTTCGATGCTGAATCTGACCTCCTGTCCCACCTGCGGAAGGCCTGAGTCAGTGTTTGTGGCAGGACTCCTCTCCCAACTAGAGGCGAGTGTGGTGGTGACAGCCGACTAAGACCGCGGCTGGCATCTTGTAGAGCATTCTGGTGCAGAAAGATGTCCTCGGGCATGCGACCTATGTGCTGATGACAGACACACGGCTGCAGCACGTTGCACTGTTTGTACATCTCGCGGCAGTGTGCGGTCCTTGCCAGAGAACAAGGCAGTGATCTCGTCGCTAGTGACGAAACCCCAGCGCTTTTCGACATTGAACATCCTCAGCAGCTGACGAGTACTTTGTTTATTCGCACAAGGACCGTGCGACACCTCGGAGTCGAGGCCGACCTTTTTGTTTCGCTATCGCGCTAGCTTCCTCAAAGCTTCCGGAGGCTCCTGCCCAGCGTCCTCAATGACTTTAACGAGACCACGGGCCATGCGTGTCTTGTCAGAGGCGCCGAAGTCGCAGGTGAAGAAGCTCACGGCTGTGCCTTGAGCACCTGCTCTTCCGGTTCGGCCGATGCGATGGACGTAGTCCTCGATCGTCTTAGGCATATTGTAGTTCACCACGAAGGCAACGTCCTTGATGTCAAGGCCTCCAGGCTTCGCAACAGTGAGGACAGCTTAAACTTCCTAAACAGCAGGCTCCCGAAAACTCCCGCGACCGACCTCGCTGGGCGACATCTGTTGCAACCAGAATTTGGCAGCGACCTTTCCTGAACTGATATAATATTGAATCACGCTCCCTCTGGTCCTTGTCCCCGTGTATCGCACTTGCTGCATACTGCTCATACCTTAACTCCCTGCACAAAGCATCTGCCGCGCGCTTCGTGTCGGTGAACACCAGTACACGTGGCTGTGCACCCTGTGCAGGTGATACTTCCTGCAACCACTCAAAGAATCTCTGTTTCTTGTCCAATTCGGTCACAACCCGGATGTCTTGTCGAATGTTTGGGTTGGCTTTCGCGGCGGATATGCCAACGGTGACTTTCAGCATGTTCTCGCAAAAGTCCTTTGCAAGGTCCTGGATGCTTGCCGGCCACGTCGCAGACCACATCACCGTCTGCCGCTCTGGGCGCACTTGTGACACGACCCGTCGGAGCTGTGGCTCGAAGCCCATATCCAACATGCGGTCTGCCTCGTCTACCACGAGATACGACACCCGGGCCAGGTTGGTCACCCTTGCCTCCAAAAAGTCCAGCAGGCGTCCGGGTGTGGCAATGAGAACGTCCACACCCTTACGCAAAATCTGCTCTTGTCCTCGCCTGGATACACCCCCATACACCACAGCATCGCGGACACCCAGAATTTCGCCAACACGAAACGCTTCCATCTGAATCTGCATTGCCAGTTCACGTGTGGGTGCTAGGACCAGAACAACGGGACCCTCGCCAAGTTCAGCAGGCTGCGCTTTGACGTGGAGCATTGCCGGAAGCAGATAGGCCAGGGTCTTTCCACTACCAGTCTGCGCCAACCCCACCATGTCACGGCCGGAAAGGGCCAGGGGCCAACCAACAGACTGTATCGGAGTCGGAGCAGTAAACTCACCCCTGAGGTACTCAACAACAGGCTCGGGAAAGCCGGTATGGTCAAATGACCGAATGGGTTTCGGAAGGTCTTTGGCACCCTCAAGCTGCACGCCATTCTGCTGCAGGAAATCCTGCACTTGTTCTCTGGACTGAGCAGTCACTGCTGGATGCTCCTTGTAAAACAGCGTCGGGGTGGAAGATGCCTGCTTCGACCAGTCGACTGGCTCCAGCTTCATGCCGGCATGGCTCAAGTCCCGTGGACTTGCGCACGGAGGCTCCCCCATGTGCTTCTGTACCTCTGGCTCTTCGCGCATCTCCTCCCGAAGGGAGGAGTGTAAAGAATCTCGTGCAGGCGGCGGAGGTGGTGCCGGTGGAAGCGGTGGCGGGAGCTCTACGCCTGCTCAGCGACAGCAAACTGTGGCTCGGAAAAGCCGGCCCTCCTACCGTCGTCAGAGAGAGTTCCTGATGTGTCCATGCCGCTCGGTACTCAGAAACTTTCCTACGGAGATCTCTGCGAACCTGGCTTGGCTTCTGAACCTTTGCCTGATCTTTCTAGCATGGGGCGTGTCTTGGTTCAATTTAACACTTGTTGCTATTACTGCTGTCATAGCGGAACTGTCTTGGCCACCAGACTAACTGCAGCCTCGCGCCTCGGCGGCAACAGAAATTCCTGAGACGTCAATGCCCTCAGCCTGCCTGCTTTCAATCTCTGAACAGCTGTAACTGTCGAGTTGTTCGCAAGGGTTCGGAAGGGGGCGGAAGAGGGGAAGGGTGTGAAAACATGACATTGCAGCTTCGAGCAAACAGGCCTGAAGGCTTTGGCAGGGGCTCAGCGGGCTTCGAGTGCTCAGTCTGAGCCGTAGTGACAGTGGCCGCGGCGGCAACCGTTGGCTCTGTCTCTCGGGGCTTTGCCTCTTTGGGCCCAGGAGCTTCGCCGACCACCTGCGATGGTTGCGATGGCTGCGGCCGAACTGCCCAGCTCGCCGGATGTTCATCTATAGGGATGAAGGTATCGTCATCATAGAGCTCCGGTCGTCGACCAAAGTTGTCTGTTACCAGCATGCGCGGAGCAGCACGCCGCACTCCCAGGGAAGGGCAAAGGCGAAGCCCAGGCCACAGTAGCCTCGATAATCGGCGCGAGGCCATGATTCCCAAATGATGCATGCTTGTCTGCTTTGGTTTTTGCAACCTCCCGCGATAATGCACGCCCTGTCTCTGTACGGTCTCTGGACTCTGGAAAGCTCCAACGACTGCCGGCTGTCAGTCCACGGCTCAAGATACTGCAGGGAAGTCCATGGCAGGCTTCTGAAAATCAACCAAAGTTAGACTCACACACAGGCGCTGAGGAACCAGCTTGACGGTGCCGACGAACTGTCTTCCTGGCCTCACATCCGGATTTGAACAACGCAGGTCTCACCGATGGAAGTCTGCGTGTCGAAGGGGTCTGTGTTTGGACAAGCCACTGCCCTTCAAACTGGAAGGTTTCGGCAGGCAGCACCTCCAAAACTGGAGGGTTAGGAGGCTCCACGAAGAGCTTGCAGTCAGAACTTCGCGCAGCAAAGGGAACTGAGCTGGCTGCAGACACTTCACAGGCCTGTTCCACTCCAACAAAAATTCTCAGCACCAACGGCCAACGAGCTACATCCTCGCCTGCGGACCCTTGGGTGCCACCATGACCTCTACAGCGCCAGCATACAGTACCAGCAGGAATGCCCGGCGCTGACTGTGGACTGCCTTGAAGGCTAGAAGTGTTCCAGGCTCCACCACAGCGTCACCTAACAGAATCGACCCCAATTCCGGACGCTTTAAACATACGGAACATCGCTGAGATACTCTTCTTGGTGCACCTCGGGCTCCAGCCGAGTGCGCCCCTGTGGAGAAAAACCTCCTTGCCGTAAACTGCTTTAGCAGCCTGCAAGAGAAGGGAAGGATGTCAAGACTGCGCTTAAAGAGTGAGCCCGAACAAGGATCTAGAGAAACATAACAGAGGGCACATGGGGCAAGAGGAAAAAGTGGGAACGGGACACGAACGCAGGAGAAGACAGAAACCATCGCCGCACACAAAGCACAGCTTGGGCCTCGCAGGAGATGTGTCCCCAGCCCTTCTCTTCATTGTAACCTGAAGGGACGAGTCTTGCAGATGGCCTCACACTCTTGGTAAAGATAGCCATGCCAGGAAGGCATGGTTCACGCAAGCACTGCAAGCACTGAAGACTCGAAGTCACTGTAAAGTTTACAGATGTTCACAGGTTCTGTGCAGGTGGACAAACGGACTGGAACGTCAGGCACACCACGCTATGCAGCGAGACTTTGAACCAAAGACATTGCTGGAAGAGATAAGTCCACACAAGAATCGTGTAAAGGTCAGATTGAGCAGTGGCCTTTCACAGCTCCAAAGAAGAGTTGGTCAGGCGCAGGCCTGATAAAGGTTGTGGAAGGCTGAGGAAGGAATGAGGATTAGGACATACACGAAAAGATACAAGCATGAGTCTGAAATCAAGTGAAAGCATTCAGGAGTAAGGAGAGAGAGCTGCGAGCATGCTACCGCACCTTGCAGCTGCAGGCGGCGCCAGCATGCGCGGCATCTGAGGAACAACCGGAATCCTTAGGAACGGGACATTGAAGCTGCTGAGCTTACGCATAAAATTAAACCCACCCTAAACCTTGAATTACTTCCTTTCTGGAAGGACTCAAACAACGCTGCTTGGCTCGGGGGCCCAACATCAGCGGTGGAGGCGCCCTCCTTGGACGCGAAGGAGGTTGGACGGCATGATAGCGGTAGCGACCGTGATGGCGATTGTGATGATTGTGATATGCTGGTGCTGCCGGTGGTGCTAGTGCTGGCGGTGCTGCTGGTGCTGCTGGTGCTGCTGGTGCTGCTGGTGCTGCTGGTGCTGCTGGCACTGCTGCTGATGATCGTTGGAACCGTTTGCGGATGTTTCCGGATTCGACGATGCTGAGGACCAGACTTCGAGAATTACGGCTGGGAGCTTCGCGCTCAGAGTTGGGGTTTAATAAACGGTCAGATGCTCCCTGACGTCTTGAAGGCTGCGACGTGCAAACACAAACATCCGTCTGCAGCCACGAGGCGTCGCAGGAAAGGCTGAGACACGAGGAATCGCAGGCATCGCAGCTGGGGAAAGTGGGCAAACTTTCTCGGCCTGGCAGAAACGATGGAACTCGTGCGGATGGCCTCAGGCGCCTTGAATTGCAGGTGTGTGTGTGTGTGTGTGTGCCTGCATGCCCTTTGTCCCGGACACCACAGTAAAGGAAACTTGCCTTAGAATCGCCATGTGCTTGGCAGCCGCCCGACTTCCTGTCCAAAGAATCTGAGGTATCCGACTGGTTCCTCTCGATGACACCGCCGACCACGGAGGACTTCATGAAGAAGACGTCCTTCAGTGCCCAATGCTGCTCATTCTTGCTGCAGCAACGAGCCTGCCTTGCCGTACATCTCCACCACCTCAGGACTTGTGACGAAGCCCCAGCCTCAGAAAGTGCTGAAGCACTTTTGGAATCTGTGTGCTCTCATTCTTCCTATCAAGCTACCTTTCTCGGCATTGTAGGACTTCACCGTTCCAACCATGCTGGAGCCTAACGGTCGGAGGCTTCCAAGCCGACAACAACACAGAAGCAAACCGTCCTGCATGCTGATTCACAGTGTGGCTGTATAGAGTCATCGGGGCCGATCGCGCTGTCGGCATCGGCTGCATTTGCTGAGTATATCCATGTCCTTTGGGCAGTGATTCGAGCAGTTGGAACACTCGAAGCAGCATCGCCAGCGATTCAGAACTCTGCCGTTCATGGGCCCGTTCACAGCTCCCAGAGGTGTAGCCTGAGCGTGGCACAGTACCCCTAAAGTCAGCTCGGACAGCACAGCCGAGGCCTGAACAGGTCTCGCCGACCCTAGCACCACAACGTCGCTGGCCTGTCGGTTTGGGCACCATGTCTGGCGGCAACTTGAGGTATGTCTGCTCTGCTCGACTGGTGCCCTCTACTAGACGATACTCGAATGCTAAATTGCGATCACAGTGCAACCTTATGCCGCACTTTAAACTGTAGCCCCAATCGAAAAAACTTTCGAAGCCATCTGCGAGATGACTTCCTCGTATTTGAAGATCTTTGCTTACTTTCCTTAACCTGCAAGGCCATGAAGTACACTCCTAAAACCCTGACACACGGCAGTGAAGTATGCGGTGCGTAGCAGCTTGCATTGCAGACCCCACACCAGAAGACATGTTGCTTTCGCAGAGCAGACTGCCTGTGGCCCTCGCCCGTGGTCTACAACATTGAACATGACCTCAGGGTCTCAGAGGCTTTCACCGCTCACCCGAACAGCCTGTGACCACCCCAGCCTGGTCTCCCTGGCCACCGCCCGACAACGCGCTCCTCAAGACGAAGATGTCCTGCAGCAGGGAGCCTCTGATGGTATTTCTTTCCAGTAGATCGAACGATATGCAACGGTACATTTCAGGCAAACTGTAGCTTGAGATTCTTGACTGCTTCTAGGTCGGGGCCTTGCCATAGATAGCCTGCGTCTGAGGACATTCAATGAAGCCCCAACCTGTCAGAAGGCCACAACTCTCGATCGGTATGCAACCTTTCTCAGACTGATTCATGTGGAATTGCTCTGACTCACAGCAAGATTTTTGGCATCCATGGCTGTTTTTGAGAGACTGTTCGGAGTGTCTGCGTAACAGCGTCGTCATCATCCCCCTCAGCCCCCCCCCCTCAACCAACACAAACGCCAAAGTTTGCGGAGTCCACAAGTCGTAGTAAAATGGATGTGCTCCGAAGATCGGATGGAGCAAGTGTGGTTGGTGCGGGGGATGCTAGTACTAGTACTATTACTCTAGTATTAGTACTAATGCTAGTACTAGTACTAGTAGGAGGAGGAGGAGAGGAGGAGAGGAGGAGGAGGGGCAGTACTTGTCGTTGCGAAGAGCGCTACTGATGCTGTCGTGCAGTTTCCTCAGCAAGCTTTACGAGGCTGCGCCTTTGGCTTCATTGTATGACCTTAGCTCACGAAAAAGCCACTTCTGGGAATTGCGACAGTCTTGGGGGCGGTGCTTTACGAAGCCTGCGTACTGCGCCATAGCCTGTGCATGGCAGCGTTGTTCGCTCACTTGTGGATGGCAACTATCTGCGTGCACTTCGTGCCAACCTGGCCACCCTGTGGCTCAGCTCATACGGAGCTACGAAGCTGCGGACACGATCACTGCTAGGGTCGTGTCTTGGCTGGTACAAGCAGCTGTGGCTAACGTGAAATGTACGCATGCAGTTCCCACCGATTACGGTGCTTGCACGCTCATCTTGATCCGGATGCTGCGGGGCCTGGGGCCTGCGGACGCCGAGGGAGCACTGCAAACACAGACGGCATCTAGGAGTACTGGCACTTTTTGTCTCAAGACCGCCTCGTGTCATGAGAGGATGCAGCTGCATTAACTTCAGCATTCTGGCCGCGAGGACCTGAACATCAGAGCTGCGCCGAGCGCGTGTCTTGGACTGCTCTTGTGGCTCCGACCCGTACCCGTAACCCCCGGAAGGTCCTCGGCACCAGCGCCTGAGAAATCATCCAAACAGATTCAGTTTAACCAAAATCCGAGTGCACAAGTGCAAGTTCGGCTGGCCCCCTTGCCTTCCCCAAGCCATCCCAGGCCCACCGGCACCAAGGGCAAAGCCTCACATGGGCCGGCTTTGCCATGCCTCAGAACATTCGTCTCAAAAGTCCCTACCTGGATCTTCCAACATCACCAATCCTGAAACATCATCTGTGCTGCATCACATAGGCCCATGAGACACACTGGGCCATCCCTTGGGATGACATGATCAAACGTGCTGCTGCAAGTGGAGCGTCGAAAGTTGCACTCGTGACAGCTCCTAGTATCTCTTGGGCTCCTGCGAGTCTTTGCCAAGACTGGGAGGCCTCTTTAACACGCCATGATATCTGATATGTCACACCTCTCGAACAAGACGTGTCCATCCCACCTCATCCTGCACGACACTGACCTGGCATGAACTGGAACAGTTGATGCAGAGATTGCAGAAGCCGCAACCCTCTGTGGCGACACGCTGCCTGCGGTACAGATGGAACGTTGTTCATCATGCACCTGTCACACACCGTTGCAAGGCGTGGAACTCAACATAAACTCAGTGTCGGAAGAAATCACGGGGCTGGGAGCACGCGGTCGAGGCTGTGGGCGCAGGGACCAAACGCGAGTACCTTGATTACTGGAGGCATCAACTCGCTCTGTGCATCATGTCTTGGCGCACGATCCCGCACTCAGCGTGATGGGCATGGGAGGACCTGCCATGTCACAGTTTTAACCAGAACGATCTCAAAGCAAAGCTTGCTGCGGGAGTACGTACCAGTCTGCAAGAATCTTCTGGCCTCCCGACGCCCGGTTCACTCGAACCTGATGCAAGAAGCGCAGCCTGAAAGTGTGGTCTGCAGTCTGATCTCAATTTTTCCGCCTGCTGAGCTGTTGCTGCTGCCTGCTGCGAAGCTTGGACCTGCTGCCAGAGCCCCTCTGCCAGATGCCACGAGATGCCAGGATCGAGAGAGCCCACCGCTTGCTGGGCAATGAAGGCACGTTGCTGAGCCACCTTTCGCTCAACGTCATCTTTCGAGACGTCCACCCGCTGGCAAAACTTAAAACAAGACAAGGCAAAGCCTGCGCAGTTGCTGCATGCTGTTGCGCCTGAGCGGGTCGTTTCATGGCAGCTGGCGCAAAGAAGTTGAAACGACAGCATGCCATCTAAGGCCCCTGCTTGCAGCTCCTTCATCTCGTCATTGTATTGGAGCTGTGTCTGGCATTGGGAGCTCGGTGGCAGCTCAAACACTGCACAGCTGAACGGCTGCCTCGTACTGCTGCTTCTGGAACTGGTACTGTTGATAAGCCAAGTCCTAGCTCTCTGCAGGCTCCATCAAGACCAGAACAGGAGGCCCAGGTCCTCTTGCGATTTCTTCTGGTTGAACTCCAAGAGCAACGCATTCGCCTCTTTGCAAACTTGAAAGAAATGGTGCAGACACGCACAAAAAAAAAGCAAAAGGGGCCCAGCCTGGTGCTCTAAGGCCGACTTCTGCTGCTGCGCGGCTTGCTGAAGCAGCAGCAGCTGCCTCAGCGAGAACGTCCAGAGTCCAGGGCCCCGCACACGCTGTCAGAGTGAGTGGCTCGTTGTGCTGCTGCGCCAGCTCCATTTCCTTAGCATCAGAGCCACTCCAATCATGACTTCATAGGATCTCTGCCAGTAAGCTAACGACTCGCTGCTTAATTTCTTGGTCCACCTGCAAAAAACTTACAGCAGGTGTTGCATGTGCAACACTCACATCCGCTTCGGCCTGCAAGGCATACTGGCGCTTGCGTTGATCTCCCATCTGAGTGAAAGAACTGTGAGATGAAAAGTTCAAACTTGCAGGTGCTCACTGTTGTGAGATACCGGCTGCGAACAAATTGTCGGACTGTTGCTTCAGCTGCTGTGCAAGAACTTCCGTCCCGTGCCTCAGTCGCGCACGAGGCTGTGGGGCATAGGTTCTGTGCTTCATGCAGATTGCCGATGCTGAGTTGGATGGCTTCAACTGGTCATCCAGCCCGCGAGAATATGCGCTCTTCTGGCGCTGAATGGATGTGGGATCTGGAAGACCTGAAGAGGAGAAAGGTTGAGACACGCCTGGCAGTAGGATCACCGTGAATAACATCCCAGACCTGCCGTAAGACTTGGAGGCACTTGTGGCTCCACCGGAACGGACGGCTCCTCAGCAGAAATCGACTCGAAAAGTAGTGGTAGCAGGTAGCAGCAAAAGCGTCCGTCGCAATAAACAGCAGTCGCCGTCGTGAATGGCAGTCGCACGAGCAGCAGTAGTAGTCGTACAATTCTAGTAGTCGTAGTAGTAGTAGTAGTAGTAGTAGTAGTAGTAGTAGTAGCAGTAGCAGTAGCAGTAGTAGTAGTAGCAGTAGTAGTAGTGGTAGTGGTAGTGGTAGTGGTAGTGGTAGCGCTAGTGGTAGTAGTAGTAGTAGTAGTAGTAGTAGTAGTAGTAGTAGTAGTAGTTGTTGTAGTAGTAGTAGTAGCAGCAGTAGTAGTAGTAGCAGTAGTAGTGTAGTAGTAGCAGCAGCAGCAGTAGCAGTAGCAGTAGTAGTAGTAGTGGTGGTAGTAGAAATAATAGTAGTAACAGCTGTTGCTGCTGTTGTCCTCGTAGTAGTGGTGCCAGTATCTGCAGCATAGCAGCAGTGGCAGCAGTGGCAGTTGCAGAGTGAGTTGCACTGGCGGCGGCGGCGGCGGCGGTGGTGGTGGTGGTGGCGGTGCTGACTAGCATGATGGTCACTGATGCTCTCTCTGTAGTTACGGCTACTGTAGTCAGAACTAAAAGCCGCGTTCCCATCTGCGGTGTCATTGCCTCGAATACGATCAAGCTTAACCAGGATTCCTGCAATTACCCCGATTGCCTGTTCTTATTGCCTGCAGTGTGATGCTACGCAAGCATTGCGCTTGCGATTTGATGACAAGCCGCAGCTCCCAGAACCATCGCAGGTGGGGGCGGCATAGGCGACACGGCTCCCCACTGGGACCCAACCGGTACCACAGGAGTCGAGCTCCCTGACACCGAGGCCTGGGATCTATGGGCCTTTGGGTTCAGGATTTAGGGCTTCATCTGGAGTCTAGCGTCGAGGGTTTGCTAACCTGGGTGTCACCAGCGCGTCTGCAACATATTCACCTCGGCCTTGCAGCCGGGAGGTTACTTCGACTCCCCATTACCTCCCTATGGTGGGAGGTCAACAAATCGAACCAAAGGCATCCAGCATACAGTATACGCGCCATGCGATAGCCGGCGTACAAACAGCACAAACAGCACAATCTGAGCTTGAACTGCATGCTGTCTTTCTCGAGCCCGCGTGAGGTGTGATGCTTCCGTTCCAAGAAACCATCCCAGCTCTCTCGGACGCTGCCCAGCTAGTCGCCATGTCGTGTTCAGAACTCTCGACATGGACAACACCTCAGTTGCGAGCCCTTGCGACTGCTGGCGATGCAATGCTATACCTGTCCAAGGACATGCATCGGAGCTCTCCCGGGCATCTGGGACGGACAAAGCAGCTGCAGAATGAACAACTGAAAAGGAGCCTGAGGTCAGATCTATCGTCTGGCGCTGAGGCTAAGTCAGCCCTCTAAACTACCGTGCACAGACCTGGCCGGTACGGTTGGGGTGGATGCCCGCGGGTGCATCACAGCAGGCCTAAGTTCAATGGCCCCACTCCTCTCCACTGCATGCTGCAGAAGGGCCAAGGATCAGGCAGCACACAAGACGCTCCTCCCGCCACCTTCGCTTGAGCTGGCAAGAGGGTCCCGACATATGTGGATCCACATGCCTGCACTGAAGGCATCGCAGGTGCATAGGACGAAATGCGCGTGGATGCATACCTGTCACGCACGACGGATTCCATGTCTTCGTGCTACACAACAACACACGAATTAGTTCACCAATAGGTCTCTCAGAGCTGCACCCATTCGAGGAAATCCCATTGGAGATCGCAGAGAGAGTAGCGGCAGGAGCGTCCTAGCAGCTCTCGGAAAGGATTGAGAGTCACCACCTGCCTGGGCTACTTACAGACCTACAACATCTGCCCTTTCCAAAAGCTTCTGAGCTCCGTCGATGAACCAGCTGGCACAGACATAGAAACGGGCGCCATACACCTTCGAAAGGCTGTTGTGGCGTTGCTGCAAGCCTGCCTTCTACCGAGGCGTTAAGAGTAAGGCTGATTGGCCACGGTTGTCGGCTCCATCCACGTGGCCTTGGAGATTCCAGGGGAACGGCAGCCAACAACAGTTTCGCAAGACACGTTTAGGCATCTTGCCTGACCAGACGCCAATCTTGCTACACCTCTGCAACGATGGGATAAATATCCTCTCGCTTTAAACGAGCACCACACTCTTTTCATGGCAAGAGAATGACAGCCTGCGCCGCGTGCAAGGGTAGCAACTGTGCTTCGCTGCACGTGCACACTGCACACGCACAGACAACAACGAGCAGACTCCCTGGTGGGATTACGACTTCGTACTGCCTCCTTTTGATGGGCTCCACTTACACAACGAGAACTTAGCTTGCCCTGACATTCCAGATCCTCACCCTGTCTCCTGGTCTTGGGAGGGTTTCCATTTTTGGTGCCCCGGCAGATGCATGGGAAGGCTTCAATATAAACCACAGCAAGAAGATAGAGGTATTTCCTCTCTGCTTCTTGTTCCATGCCCACTCAACATCACACAACCCATGCAAGCAAAAGAGCCGCACCGGAGGTGTCGTAGGCAGACGGGGACAGCTTCGTGGCAAGGACCTCAACTCGAGTAGAAACCATGTGAGCAATGCGGTCAATTCCAGCTACTCAGAACATCGGAAACGAGCTGCACATGGGTGCGGCCTACCCCATCCACTCTTTTTGTGAAGTTCCACATTATGCAAGAGGTCTTGGCAAGCCGCCCTTGGAGGCAGAGCAGTGGCAGCGCCTCAGAATTGACAAGTAATTCGAAATTTAAACACCAAGTAAAGTAGCACACCGTGCTCCACGTCAACAACGAAGATCTTCAGCAAGCGAAGTTGCGTAATTCATTGTCAGACGAATCGCTTGCGAACAGAAGCCGACGACAGGAACTTGGGCCTGATACCGGACCAACCGTATACTGCACCTTCATCTGCGTATGCCTGGGCAATATTTAAACTGCGACTGCAACAAGGATCACAAAGAGGGCTCCGGACAGCAGGGAGCGGGCTTACCGTGCCTCGCACTTCTGAAGCCCAGCTGTCGCAACTGCCGTGACTAATGACGGGTCCCGGCCTGATGTGGAGCAGTAGGCCGGCGTGGGCTCTGATGTGTAGACCTCTCAGGAATCGCGTGCATGGTGTCGACGAGACTGCTTGAAGCCCGCCGTAACTCCAGGAGGAAAGGGACTTGCTGCACCTTGGAAGCGATCCAACACTGAAGCCTCGCGATTTGTGGCATCAGTACGACTAAGGCCAAGGCCTGATCCGTACGTGAAGCCATCCCCCGCATACACCTCGTGCAGCACCAACACACCGGAATGCTGGCGGTGGCGCACCCTGCCTCCGGCATGGGGCTCGCTGCACCTGTCTTCTCGGTGAACGTTTTCAGCAAAGCGCGCCACGCATTCACACTGAGGCCCATGCTCACGTAAGCAGGGCTTGCTTCAGCCTGCAACCGAAAAGCACGCCCGGCCTGCAAATCATGCAGATCCTCCAACCTGAACCATGTCTCGCTTCTGGCCACAGTGCCGGCAGAAGACCGCATCAGGCATGTAGACCTGAAGACTGCGTCACTTCTGTCAGAACTATCTGCGATCGCATGACACATACTGAGATCCAAACCCATCCGCAGCTGGAACAGACATCCGGCTGTGCAGGACATGCTAGGCTGCTTGGTTGGGCTGGAGTGCTCGCACCAGACGGCGGCAGAATCCTGCAGGGTATTGGGAACGTTGCTGAAAGGCTTCGCTGCGCGTTAACGCTAAAATGCAAAAACAAGCGTCTACTGCACATGACCTGAAATGCTGTTTGCACATCGCCATCACATGGAGGACAAACTCGCTGCAGCCTATCGAGCAAACTCAGTATGTATGCCTGTAGACACCGAAGCTTCTCCACAAGATCCATCTGTGCGGGCGAAACAGTGCGATATACCTCCCGATTTCCCCTTCTTTGCCGGCTCCTCGGGGCGAAGTGGCTGGCGTTCTGCGGCGTGGTGCTCCCGGAAGACACCGAGCCTCGGACATGAAAACACCCCGGACCCACCTCCAAAAGCACCCTTCCCACCATCTTCGAGCTGCAGGCCCGGTCGCCTCAAGACCGGCAGGGATGCGAAGCCTTCGATCGGGTGTAGAGTCTAGTATAGAGTCTGGGGGTATCAAGCTTCAGGATTCGGCTGAAAGCGTTGCAGCGGGCTCTGGGGCCCTTGAAGGGTGGGGCTCTTGGGTCATGTAGTGCTTCGGCTTGCAAAAGCATTGTCTCCAGACGCCGAAAGCTGCACGCCTGGACCCAGGACCTGGCAAGGTGCAACTCAGAAACCGTCAGCTCCTGACACAAGTGCTGTCTGCTATCTAACTATATCTAACTACCTGTCGGTCGAACTAGCTACATACAGACATACCATCCACCCACCCACCCACCCACCCAGACATACATACATACATGTATGCATACCTACATACATACTCACATACTCACATACTTACTGACATACTTACCCCCTTCCATACTTGCATAATTACACACTTGAATAATTACATACTTGCTTGAAGACATACTTTCTCACTTGCATACAAACATACGGTCTTTCATATCTGTTTCTCACATACCTATCGCTGTGTTCTGTATGTGGACAGCTCGTTCGGTAACCCAACCAGTTTGGACACCTGCGCTTGTGGCGTCAGCGACCGCAAGGGGACCACCTGCCAAAGTCTTCTGCGCACGCGATGAAAAGTCCTCCAAGGTCTCAATCATCAGCCGGCACCACGGTAGCCATGTGCCGTGTGCCCTCAGAGAAATCAAGCAGGCAAACAGCACGAAACATAAGCCGAAGAATGGAAACAACATACAATACCCCGCTCGAAAAGCTTGGCCGGTGTCAGGCACCTGAAACTGCGGCGCATCCAGGCACCAGGGATGTGCCTTCTTCAGTGTATGTGTCTTGGCTCTGGTGCTTCTGCGGTCTAGGTGTCACTCACGCAATAGTGCTGCCCGACAGAAATCCGCAGGCACGTTGTGAGACAGTGTTTCTGTGATCGTGCTACTGGTAGCTTGTGTTGGCCACTAGCTCCTTTGATCGTTAGATCGAGACGGGTTTCACCCTCGTGACGCATGCCCCATGCGCTGATTGACTTGACTTGAACAGGACCTCGTAGAATCTGACGGAATTTCACGAAGTCTCTTCCTCAACTCCCATGCAGGCTGGAACACATCCACTTCAGCGCACTCTTTTCCTTGCACCGGATTTCCAGACACAGGGTGGTTGCTGAAGCTGCTTGTTTCTGTGAGCTGCAGCCTATTTCATGTAGATTCTGACGAGCATTACACACGTTCTGTTTCTACACACACCACAGTTCTTGTTGTCTTAGGTCTAAAACGAGAACTCGGTACGGTATCTGTTCAGACGATCGCAGAAGGAGAAGATTCTGTCAAACTCGATGTTATCCTACCTATAGGCTCGAACACCCTGAGCACTTACACTGGCTCAAGGTGAGAGCTGGGACAGTAACGCGCCTTCCAGCGCCCTTGCTTGCCACCAGCACCTTCAGGGCTGATGCCCGGCTCTTCTTAAAGCGTCCTGCGCGGGCCCAGCCCTGCTTCCATTGCATTCCGATGCAGAAGCACACCCCCCACGAGTTTGGCATTGCACTCCAGCCTTAGATGTCTTAGTCTTGAAATGCCAGGTGAAGGGGCTTCGCCGCAGCGTGCTACCTTTAGCAGGTCGCCTGATGAACTTGTTGCACTCATTGACACTTACTATGCTAGTCTAGTCGACTAGGCTGTAGAGAACACACGGCCGGTTTGACCAGCAATAGGCGAAAGCTAGAATCGAAACTCAAACTGAGGTGAAACCGAAGCAGCGCCAGGTGCGAAGATGGAACGGCTGCGCCGCGTGACTTTCCCGACAACTTTAACATTATGGGAGTTACACAAAAGCATCTGAAGCAGTTCACTTGCAAAGGAATGGTGCCAGTAGTGGCGGCTTGTCAGCTAGTTTTTGTGTCGCCTATGGCTCTTTCGCAGGTGAGCAAAACGATCCAGACCATTCGTGCGTCTCAGGTGGTTGAGCAACTTCACAGTGCCTGCCGCCGACCAACCCATGACCCGCCCCACCCTACCCATCATCCAACCAAATCACAGATCCAACTCAAGAGGCAGGCATGAGATTAAAAGCTGTTTCACCTTTAGCTCACGGCAGTCTACTGCAGCTGCTGAACTCCTAAACAACACCCAAGCCTCAGCCATCATCTTCGTCGTCTTCCTCCTGCAATGTGTCATCTTTCACGTTGCTAAGGCCGGTGTCGGCCAGACAGGTGAGTCTCAGGACGCGACCATCAACTGCGCCGCTTTCCTGAAGACGCTGCCCTCAGAGAGGCCATGGACATCCTGAAGTTCAGCGCAAGGATTCCTTCCACATGAGTAGGCTAGGCTAGGTCTTGCAGTACACTTAGCAACAGTCTGACGTGCATGTTGCATTCAACACCCTGAACACCTGGCACCGCCGAAAGCTAGACATCTCTCTTTCCGGCGCTCCACATCTTTCGGGTCCATTCTCGAAGCTTTGCCCGCCAAGTGCTGAGCTGTCTTCTTCGCTCGTATGCCACAATGGATGCTGTCACTGACAAATTCAGTGTGTCGACGGGAGAGGCTTCGATCTCAGGCTTTGCAAGCTTGGCAGGCTCGTGAGTGCGGAGTGGGAATTGTCGCATGGGTACAGTAGCCAGCAGGTCTAGACTTTGCTCAACTCCCTCAGCAAATGCCTCGCCATCTTCATTGTCCGACCCGAACACGAATGCCAGCCTGTTTTGCGCTAGGTCCAGCTCCCACAGATCGAAAGTAGGCTTCTCCGTCGCATCCTTGGCCACCAAGCCCACCAGCCGGGTCCCCGCGCTCTTGAGTGCGGCCATAGCACATGAAGCACTCACATCGGCCGGAACTGGTACGACTGCGACTTCCCAGTGACTCTTCTGCTCCACCATGGAAAAGCGAAATGCTTTGTCCAGCAAGGCACGTGAAGGTCCGCCTACGATGCAGACGGCAGAGATGCCGAGCAACGTGCACGATCTCAAGATTGCTCCTAGATTACCAGCCGTTGCTCCACAAAGCACGAAGAAGGAATCCATTTCTCCACGGCTGAGACGACACAGAAAATCATGCCAGGAGAGGGTACAGCGTTGGTGCAGAGCCTCGCGTTTCGACATTCCTTCTTCTCCGGACGTCGCAGCCCTGGCCCTGACCTGCAAGGGGCGAGCCGGGCGAGCACTCCCTGCTCGCCAAGCTCGCCACCTTGACACTGCAAAGGGCGCTGCTTGGGGTGCCGCAAAATGGACGGAAGATGCTGCGAGCGCCAGAACCGACCAAGGTCGCAGTCGATTCTGCCACCCACATTGAAGCATTGGACAACGATAATGAAACGCGCAAACACCGCTCACTAGCTGGTCGTCTCTGCAAACATCCACACGTGGGTGCTCAGAGAACCTAAGAGCACTGGCTTGAGACAGGAATGGCCTCAGGCTCACTTTCGGCGATGCATTCCAAAGCATCGGCACAGTATGGAGGGAACCTCGGGCGCCAGAGCTCTTATGAGCTCGACGTTGTGGTGAATCCTGGCGCACACGGAAATGACAGTCTCAGGTGCGACTTCCACCTCACAGCTTGCCTCGATAATCGCCCTTCCCTGGGACCCACGACGCAGGCCTCGAAGCAGAGAGCAATGAACCGGAAATCAAATCAATCAAACGGAGCTTGGAATGCCTTGAGATTAACCACCACCTCCGCAAACTCGCCGCCGGCGATTCTAACAAGAAGGCCTGCAGTGCTGAGAGCTTATCACCAGAGGCGTCTGGAATCTGGGCTTCGTGATAGCTGGCGCACCGTGATAGAAGACACCGAGATCTTTGAGCTCTGCCTCTATCCTGGCAAGGAGGCTGTTCTGGCTATGCTGGGCACGTGATTCCGGCACTTTAAGGTAAGGCCTACAGCCGTAAACGGTGGCGAAGCGGAGCGAAGCAGGTCAGGCTCACCACAGCGCCGCCGGATGCTCAGGGCTACCTTCATCTTTGACCTGCAAGAGACTGCCTAGACGCGGAGACGCGGAGGGGAGGCTCTGAAGGCGCTTCATGCCCGAGCTCGAAGCCAAAATGTCGATCCCTGCCGGGAGAGGCCCCACCACCTCGCCAGGCCAAGGTCATCGAAAGCAAGCAAGGACCACCTGCACCGTTTCCTTGCTGTGACGATGAAAATATCTGTGAATCCGTGGAATCCTATTCATCGAATGTGCCTTTAACCTTTCATTTGTCTTTCCCTTCATGCATACATGAAGGGCAAGAGATTGGCCTCTACGAGTTGGCCGTTCGAGGGCAGCTCGACCGAGGATCGGTAGGCATACCTCTGACAAAGCGACAAAGCGGCGCTGTGGGACGTTCTACAGGGACTTTGGTTATGAGCGTGTACGGGAGTTTATGAGAGTTTATGGGAGTTTGGGCTTGGGGCGGTTGGGGATTCAGGATTCAGGTGACCACTTCCAGCTGAATCGAAGACTCGTACGAGCGGCATAACGAACACGAATGAGGAAGCAACAACTACGGCAACAACGCTACTGAACTCAACGGCGAGTTCATCCTATACTTCTTCGTAGCGGGAGGAGTAGAAGTAGTGGGAGTACTTCTTACACTGACTGCTCCTGGGAGCTTGGACGGACCCATGATGGTAAACGGAGCAGCTATTGGGGCTCCGGGCCCCTGCAACAGGATGCCCATCTCCAGGGTCCTGACACCAGGCCTTCGACAGATTATGTGTTTGAAATTCCATGGCTTCGGTGGATGGGGTATTGGGCTTCTTCTTCTGCGCACTGCAGGCCTATCGACTTCCTCGTCGTCGTCATCTTCCTCACCAATGTCGCCAATGGGAGGGGGCTCTGGTGCCTGCGGACAGAGGACCCGAACAAGTGGAACGACGTCCCTGCAGCACTGAGCAGCTCTGAGCCTGCGGTATGGTAGAGGCCAGTTCCGAAGCATTCTGACAGGGTCAGGGTGGTGAGGTGTGCTGGATAAAAGATTGAAAGAGCAAAGGTTCAGAGGGAACAGAAATTTTGCTGGCAGATGCTAGCCAGCCGGCCTGGTCAGCCCAGCTCAGCCGGCGGGCTGCGCAGGGAAGCATATTTCGGTCACGGCTTAGCGCACTTGTGCACAAAGTCCTGAAGTCCCCTGAAGACTCAAGGCCTGTGAGCGGTTGGCTCTCCATCGTGACCAGCCTGCAACACGAACGGACCAGGTATCGCGAGGCGTCTGAGCCTGCTTGGCAGCCCGTCCTCGACTGCCAGGTCAAGATGCCACATGGTGGTTTGAGCCAGGATGGCAGCAGCAAGACGCCCTCGATGCAGCCCCAGCTTAGATGAAGATATGAAGAGAGTCTTAGAGCATCAATGGAGCCGAGAGAGGAAGCCTCTGCGCCTCTTTGGCCTCGCTTGGGAGGGTCTTTGCCCTTGTCGGCCGAAGGCCAAGATCAGCCTCAGAGCCTCCGAAAAGTAATTCGAAGAACTTGATGCCGGTTCCAATGTGATGAAAACTGAAAGCTGAGAGCTGGGTCGCCGGCCCAGCTTGCATCGCTTTGGCAGCTGCCGCGGCTTGTTTAAACCGAGGGAGCTGCAGCTGGGCCTCAAGCGTGATCCAAGGCTTCGCAGACGAGCTGTTGCTGAAGGCAGCTCCAACTGAAACTGCTGCCGAGCGGCCATGACGAAAGCGGAGGGATTCCGCGCCTCGTGCACCGGCAGCTCAGCTGCCACGGCCTAGGCGGGCTCGCGCGGGACATCGAGCCCGAACATTCGGCGAAGCCCCGCCTGGAGCTGGAGAGGGAGCTGGCGGAGTTGCTGCGCGCACTGCGCATCCAAGCCGAAGCGAAGGATCAGTGCCTCAACACCCGGGTGCACCTGCGAGGTGCTCCAGATGAAGCCGCACTCCAAAGATTAAGCGACCCGAAATCCGACCTGCTGTCCGTTCGGCAATGTCACGGACACGATAGGCAGGGTTGGCATCGCATGTGCCGTTGACATCATGATGTCACCTCGGCCGAAAGGAGCTTTGCCGGGTCGCTAGGACGCGTCAACTCACGGGGCCCAGCGGACACGAGAGATCAGCACTGCAGACCTCGAAGCAGCTCTCTGCGCAGGCTACTTCCACTTGATGACCTTTCTGCCACAGTCTGCACTCAGAGGCAATGGCGGATCACGCGCTCCCATCAGCGAACCGCGCTCCAGCACCGACCGCTGCAGGGCGCGCCTTGGTTACACTTCGATGCCGTGTCCTTCAGGCCCAGTGCCCGTCTGTGGTCTGCGACGGAAGAGATCGGAGCTTGGCGGCAGCATGCGGCTCCACCTAAGCATGTTTCAAACATGAGACAGCCCATTTCTTGGACGTCGATCTGGATTGGTATTGCTGCTTTGCTAAGCGGCGCTGTTGAGCGACAGGAAGTGCTCTACTTCCGGGTTTGGCGGACTCGGCTCGACGCGGGCCTGCAAGAGTTTGATTGAACGAACTTCCCCAGTATCCCGAATGGTCCCAGGAGGTCCCGTCCTGGTAAGCAGCAGCCGCCAAGAGCGATGTCGCGCTTGTAGTCACGGGCAAGGCAGAAGCTTGCCCAGCAGGGATAGACCTTTGCTTCCACAGCACCACTGCTTCATGCGATCTCCACCCCTCTCTTCATGTTCCAGCGCCACACACTCCAAAGGAAGTTGCTTTCCCGATTAGACTTGTTTATATGCCGGGCTCCAGCCGTGCTCCAAATGCGAGCCGAGGCGCGTGGACTTCGGAGCGGCTGCCTTGTCAAAGGCATGGCTCCTGGGCTTCGGAGCTCAGCGGAGCTCAGCTCGCCTGAGCAAACTCGAACCACCACCGGTCACCAGTCTGTCCTCTCCAGCTGCCTCCTCGGCTTCTCGCGGTCCTGAACGCCGAATTCACCACAAGTCTTCCATCTCGAAGCGACTCGGCTAGGGCTCAGGCTCGCGAAGGCTCGCGCGACTTATCCTTGTGCCGATCTCGAGCTTTCCTTTCCTCGAGACAGACCACACCAACCACATCCACCCACCACCAGCCAGATGTCAGAGGCTTGCCTTGTCCCGATCCCTTTCTCTGCTCCTGGCGCAAGCAATCTCGAAGGTCAAAGAAGAAACGCCCAAGGTCCCCGCGTCCCCACCGCTCCTTTCAGCTTCTCGCTCATCCCGCATGCGCTCCCGAGCCTTTTGTCCTGGGCTATCACTGGCCCTGGAAGATCCAAAAATATCCAAAGCCAACCCCAGGCCGAGGAGCTCTCTCGCGCCCGCCACTCCTCCCTGTCTCGGTCCGCGGTCTTCGGCTCGAGCCGGTCTCGCTGCGGCCTCCCAACATCGCCACTACTCCCGCCCAGTGCCACGGCTACCCAGAAAAGAGCCATCCTGGCCTGTCCTTTGCCTTTTCCCGATCGCGCTCGCAGTCCCTGCCGTCGGGGACAACTTTGCTCAAAGTGATCTGGGCGGCTCCTAGAGAGAAAGACTTCCTTCCGGCTCTCTGACACAAGCTGCGACATGACGGTGTGCAAATCATGGCTGTCACACTGCGATTCCCCCCGCCCCACACATGCAAAGAAATTAGCGATGCCAGCCCTGTCACCCGCTGCTTTCCATGTCTGGCCCAACCGAGCGCATCAGATGCTGCCCGTGGTTTCTATGATGAATGACAACGCAAGGTTGCGACGAGAGATCCGACTCCCTGAAGCACATGGGCCTTGCCTGTCACCCCTCTACTACAGTGACCTGCTTGGTCCTTCTGAGGCACGTACATCATGACATCATGATACACTGAGCAGACACGAGCCTTACCACGTTTGCTGGTGACCATTTGGGAGTGTGCATTTGAAACATCTGCAAGAACTACTCGGACGCGGTTTGGACACCAGCGGGTCGCATCGAGAGTGGAGCCCAACGGCACATGCTTCCGCTTCGGCCTCTCGCGTCGTTCCTTCGCCTCAGCACAGGATGGAAGTGAAATGGTAGTCAGCTCTCCCCTTCCTCGAAGTGCAGTCTGGGCACTCGCTGCTTCTCCCGCTCTTTCGTGTGTTCTTCAGTAAGGGCCTCCTTTTCCTGGGTCTGCTTCTCCTTTTGCTGTCCTTTCTCCTTCGCCTTTGAACTGTCCTTTGCTTCCTTGTCGACCTGTTTGCCCTTCCTTGTCCGTGCTTTTTGCTTCTCTTTCGTTTCCTGGGGCACAGTGTGGTGAAGCCCTTCTTTCGCCAGGATGCTCACGGCCTCTCTTGATCGCGATCTCGGCAACGAATGCGAGGTGTCCTGCCAGCAAAAAGGCTGGGCCGCTGAACTGCGGGGTTGCTCAAGCACCTTCCTGCAGAGGGTAGCCACATGCTTTCGGCTACTAGTGGAATGAAACTGCGACGCTTGAACTAGCCTGCTCTCCGTCCTGGTCACTGCGTCTGGCAGGTTTTGCATCTCTTCTCCTACGTGGCAATTGGTCGTGGGGGCTCAGCATGGAACATCCACGATAGCACAACTGAGCACACTCGGCGAGGCCTGCTAAAGTCTATGTCAACACCGCATGTATTCACCCGAGTGTTACTGGCAACAAACATGCAAGCTTACCAGCACTGCAGATAGAGCTCTATGTGGCCTGGAAGGTTCAGCTTTGGAATCTTCCGGCCTGGCAACCAAAGAGGACAACTTCCAACTCATGTTTCCAAGGAATGGCCTGAACTCGAGGGACCACCGGTTTGGGCCCCAAAGCGACCGTGTAGCTGGTTGAGAAGAATGCAGCACGCTTTGTGTTGGGCTGACTCTGTTCGCTGGTCTCTGAGAAACGAGTCGGTGACACGGATCAGCAGCATCTTCTTCCTGCTCATCCGACGTACCTGGCCGGGTGTGTTCAGCTGCAAACTCGCCCCAAATGCATCTGGCACACTGTCGGCTGACCTGCCGCGGGGAAGGGGTTGGCTTCCTGCAGGTGCAGCACGCCAAGAGTAGGATCACAATGATCGAGGACAAGACGCACTAGCGCGCCATCTTCAGAATCTTCCAGCGAAGCTCACTTCCGTCTGTGCGGCGATGAACCACCAGTCGATCCTCCTCGAAAACCTGCGTGAAACGACGCTTTGTTGTGGAACACCGGTACATGGCTTCTCTAGCATTCTCCCTATCGTTAAAACACCATCACCCACAGCACCCCACCGGTTGATCATCACCACTACCACCACCACCACCGAAGCCTCGATCCGTCCGCCAGTTCCCGTCGCCGGATCATAGAAGCAGGAGCCAGCTGCCTCCGAAGGTCATGATGCGACAGCGGCAGCACCCCCAGGTGCAGGGCATGTTCATCGCAGCGTGCCTCCGGAGCCCAGGCTCTGCACAGAACCTGAGACGCGACGCATGCGAGTCTCGTCTGGTCAAAGCTGGGAGGGTCACCGTGAGAGCACCCGAAGTGTCCTCGACCTTGCAAAAGCTCCCAGCAGGTCCAGGAACGGAATGGTACGGAGGTTTATGAGAGGGAGCAGCCGCCTTCCCAGCAACAGCGTCACAGAGAGAGCGTCTCTCCAAGGGAGCCGTTCTACCTCAAAACCCACAGCCTTGAAGCCCTCAATGCCGAAAATCTGTCATCGTCTCGGGCTGCGACCGCAAAGGGACTCGAGAGCTGCATCCGACATGCAGAAACTGGATCCCGAGCACTCCCTGGCGGGGCACACTGGGCACACGGAGCAAGCACAGCACCACTTCACACAGCTTCCAACCATGACCGCATGCCTCGGAGCCACGACCATGACAAAAAGTCCTGCAGCTGGGCTCGCAGCAGTGGACAGTGCAAGACAAAGCGCATCGGCATCAAAGGCGCATTGTCGACCGTCTCCTGCTGTGAAGATCCAATAGCCATGAAGGTCTGATGGACCCGCGGCAACAAGCTCCAGTGCGACCTCGTCAGGGCTGACTGACAGCACGGCCTTGCCTCTTCTGTAACATTTTAAACTTCACTGGAAGGACAGCTGAGGGCCAGTCTGTGCAGTTGGCAGCACCTCAAGCTCGTTTTCTCAGAGAATCACTCCCTCCTGTCTCCACTCCTCTCCGTACGATCCCGCCAACATGCAGTGTCGCTTGTCGTTTTCAACAACTGCCACGGTAGCGGCTGCAGCCGCGGCACGGAAAGGCTCCTTGGCCGCGACCTTTTTGCGCGCATGCTAAAATCATGGCGAGAGCTCCAACCCGACAGACCGAGCTTGCGGCCACACCGGAAGTGGCAACTTTCGCCCAGTGGCGAGCAGAGCCCTGTGACGAGGAGAAAGGGGAGGGAACCCGAACCAGTCACGTGATCTACTCAACTCCGCCCATGCCTCACGGAGTCGCGGGGCCTAAGATGACACCAAGCCGGGGCTGACTTCTTTGGATTCCAACTTCCTTCCAAGAAACCTGGAGCCTTATCGTGACCACGGGCTCCTCCTATCGCCGACTGCTTGTCAGTTGGAGGTCTCAGACTCTACCGCGATGGCCAAAGAAAGCGCCTCCTCAGACTGCTCGTGCTCCCTTCTGACTCGCTTCCCGGCGCTGCTGGCCTGACAAAACTCCCAGGATCTCACCACTTTGGAAATGCCCCCGGTTTGCAGGTCGTGGCTTCGTGGCCTCGGCCCTGCCCCCGAAAGGGCTTGAGGACACCTGCCAACGACATCACAAGGAGCCGAAGCGGCGAGACATTCCAGCCGGCCTCGGCAAAGACCAGGTGGGAACTCGTCTGCACCTGTTCGACCAACATCAACGAGCAGGCTAGAGGAGCCGCTTTAGCCTCACCTGAAGTCGGACATCTGCCCCCTGCGCCAGGCTCAGAACACTCGAAGAGCGGCTCAGTTCGATGCAGAGCTACAAGGGCACTCGGCCTCCACTTTCAAGTCGCGGAGTGTAGGAGGCCGCCCTCCTTCCGCAACGAGTGTCCAGACTCCATCTCCGTCCAAACCTGAACCGGAAGGCCCAACAGCCCCAACGCATGGGAAGATATGCCTAGAAGCGACTTTGCTGCACCTTCCGCCGCCGGAGCTTCCATCAAGTCAGCAGGGCCCACTCCATACCCTGCCTCGCGGAGCTTCTGTGACAGTGACACACGGGGTTTTGCATATCTTCGAACTCTGAGAGTGGGACATCCACCAGAATGCTGGCAGCATGCCGTAGATCCTCGGAAAGAGATCAGAGGGGCGGCCATCTCTCGCACTTTCAATCCAACTGCTCTCATCACACAGCCGGCAGCAGTCCTTGCAGCGCAAGAGAAGTTGGAGTTGGTCCAGCTTCGAGCCCTGAGCACAGACGGCGGAAAAGAATCGAGAAGCCGCCACGAGTTCACGGGGCGCACCTCTCGAGGGCAAGAGCCAATCTGCAGCGTTTCCAGCTTGCGCTGTGCAAGAATGGAACCTTGGACGGGGGGCCAACCAACTTCATCCGGTGCTCTCCGATTTAGCAATGCTGGACTACACTCTACAACGACGTCTTGACATCCCGGCCCCATGTCAGCAGATGTGGCCGCAGCCAATCTTCACTACCGTACCAATGTGACTTTTCTGTGCTCAACTTGGAGAGGAGGCGACTCCATCGCAGGCAAGAGGCGCGCGGCAGGAGGCCAGCTCCAGTCCTCAGCCGCCGGTCGGTGCCCGACCGAAGGCAACCTCCAAGCAAGCAGCCAAGCAGCCAAGCAGCCAAGCAGCAAGCGACGTGCTTTTTTCTACGTGAAGAACTTCCGGGCCGGGGCCTGAGGACAGCCCATGCTTCAGAATCTGCTTTGCAGATGCCTCGGCACTCTCGACTCGAGACATGACTCAGCGACAGCAGCTCTGAAGAGGCCTTGGCTGCCGTGGACATTCGCATGTCCGCTGCTGAAAGGCTCAAACAGCAGCCGATCACCTGCGACGAGAAGCGGTGCAAGGCTGTGCTCCGAGGCATTCCGAGGCATTCCGAAGAAGCGCAGCTTGAAGTCTTTCCGTTCAAATCGGAGTGAAGCTGAAGACGGCAGTTGCCCCAGGTCGACAGCAAGAGCGATGCTAATGCGTCACTCCCGTCGTGTTCCAATGGGAAGAGAACGCCAAAACACAGGAACCCATCCGGGTACCGTCTTCTGAGCTTCCATCTGCATCGTTCCAGATGCAGGTATTACTACTGCACCAGGTAATATGCTGTGTCTCCGTCTGGCTTCTTCTGTGACTGATGTTGCGTTGTATTTCTGACACGGAATGACCCTAGAATCTAAAGAGGTGCAAGAATCAAAACTTGGTGCTTCGCAGCTTACAGACGACTGTCCCGAGCTGGCCAAAACTGGGTCGCAACCACCTTGGTCTGGCAGATCGCAGCAGTACAAAGACAGGGTTTAGAGTTTAGAGGACCCGAGCAGCATCTAAGGCACCCGCATATAGAGTCTCTCAGCGAGGCAGACACAGTGGCAGCATGGAGGACAACACACCCGCGCCTCGGGAGGCACCGCACATCGTGTGGGAGTCGGGGTCATTCTACCATTGCGGAGGGCTTCTGCTACTTTTCTGGGCTCCGCGCTCTTCATGTCGAAGGAGTGGTCCCCGTCGGGAAGGGTGTCGGGCCTGGCTCACACACATCAAACAGCGAGAGGCCAAGCAAAGTATCGACGAGGCCCCAGGCGTGAACACCACGTCCTTCGCCTTGCGCATGGTCTGCGCCAGCAGCTGGCGGTAGGTACCAGGCGTGGACCTCGGACATGACAAAACGAGCTTTGAGCCCTCGGGCCGGCCTTCCTAGGTCGCACCTGTTGCGATTGCCCCAGACAGCGAACACCTTCATCTTGCCGGTCGTCGTCTGGCGCAAGGCCTGTCTACAGCCCATCTTGCATCCAGCTATGACTCTTCCTTTACCGATTTACCGAATCAGTTTGCCTGCATCTTCTCAGCCAGGAATGACGGGAAGAGCACGATGGGGCCTTCGATGCCAGCATCTCTCGAAGAAGCTCGCGACCGAATGTCCCTAGGAATTTGTGCACGTATCTCGGGTTGGGGCTGAAGAGGACGGTGGCGGCCACCTCAACAGCTGCTCTGGTGTGAAGGTTAGCCAGCCAAAGACTCAAAGACTCTCCGCGCCTGCTGCGCAAAGATGTTCAGGAGGGATGCATAGAGGGCAATGCCGGCGCCCTTGCCAAAGCCGAGAATCACCACCTTGCGCCCCGCCCCCCGGTCGGGCCAAGGAAACCAAGAAAACCACCACCCACCGGACCGGACCGGACCGGCCTTGTCCCAGCTGAGGCCAAACTCCCCCAGCTTTGTCTCGATGGACTCTGCGAGGCAGCGGCCCAAGAGCTCCACATCGTGGAGCATGTCCAGGTCCTGTTTTGCAGAGCTCCCAGCACTCTCTCTCTCGCGAAAGCGCTAGGTCCGCTAGGTGCTCTCGGGCCTGGTTCTCGAAGGCCTGGCGGTCCCGAAGGAAGAAGGAGCCGTCCACGACCTCTGGCAACTTCAAGGAGAAATCGGTGAAGGCCTGGCGACATGACAGGCGGACAGGCTCGCTTCTGAAACCTTCCGCTTGCTCTCGGCCTCAGCTGCGGGATGCTGAGCCCAAGCAAGGGAGACGAAGGCAGCGCTTCCAACTTGCGAGGCGACTTCCTCAAGACGGAGCAGAGTAGGCACAGAGAGCAGCACAGCACTGACGGCTTTGTCTCAAAGGCAGGAATAGCGGTCCCTTACGGCAGCCGCTTCGTTCTGGGAGTCATCTCCCAGCCAGATCACCAGTGCATTCGGACTGTCCAGGTTACCACCTCGAGGTGCGCAGATTCTGATCCCAGTTTCTTCCGGCCCGGCGGGCGGGGGTCTGAGGCCCACACCCTCGTGCGCTGTTGGCAGAGGACCCTTTTTGCACAAAGGGAATTTCTGAGAAGAATAGAGAGGATCCGAGATCTCCAACGACCAGGGGACCAGGCCTCTGGGCTCATGGCAGCCACGCTCTGGTCCGTGAAGAGCAGGTTCAGCCAATCGGCTTTCAGCCTGTCGCGCTCTTCCTCCTCTTTCTTCTTGGCGGCCTCCTCCTCCTTAGGATTCATGAAGACGAAGAGACCAGACACAAAGCTTTGTAGCAATAGCACTGGCAGGTTAAACAGTAGTAGCATCTGCAATGGTAACAGCAATCTTTATTTCGTCATCGCCAACTCTCGTTTCACCGGGCCCCTGGCCTTGTGCTTGGCTTGCTTCTCCTTTTCGGCCCTCTGCTCCTGAGCAGACAAGGCCAGCTCCTCCTGCAAAGTGGGGAAGACCAGCACCACCTGAAAGGGGGCTACGAGAGAAGAGAGAAGCGGGAGAATAAAAAGAAGCACTGTTGTGGCCGAGGCGCCTGGGTGTTGTCGCTGGCATCCGCGGCTCGGGAGAAGGCCTCGCTGCAAGCATCCTCACCGACCTTGTAAACGACGGTGTCCAGGACGAACTTGTTCGCCCGCACAAGCTTGGTGACCTTACTGCTAGGCAGGTAGTCACAGGGATGCAAGAAAAACATGGCATGCGTGCCGCCACGATACATTTTCCATGACAGCCATCATCTTCTTGGCGTTGGCAGACAAGGAGTGCACCCACCTTGAAATGTTGAAGCCAACAATGCGACCACCCCAGGCCGCGAGCAAAGGCGGCGAAATCTCCAATGGTTGAGCAATGCCGTGGCCGTACACAACAATCTGGGCATCCTTGTCACCAGATTGCAGGCAGTGGATCAGCTGCTCGCAGGAGTCACGCGTGGCGATGCCATCCAAGGCGAGTTTGGGCAGCATGCGCTGGTTGCGATCTCGCCACCGCAAGAGCGCGACGGCATCGGGGAAGACCTCCTCTGCTCCCATGGTCACCAGCTGCTCCGAGATGCGCTCGTACTGGGCTCGAACAGTAGGTGTTGCGGCCGCTCGGTTGTCGACCTCCGCCCAAGCCGCCTTGGAACCGTACTCGCCTTTCGCAAGATTTTTGGGAGACCCGGGGAGTGGCAGCATGCAGAGCGGCTTCAGCTTCAGGAGCTTGCAGAGTTGCAGCAGAGCCGAGCCGGAGGCGGACAGGTGAGCAGCGTTGATCAAAACGGAGTCGCCCGGCTTCAGCTTGCTGCCGAACTGCTCCAGAACCGTGTAGGCGCAGACGATGGTTGGGGTCAAACAGATCTGCTCAGGCGTCAGCTGCTCCAAGATCTCCGAAGGGATTCGCAGCAAGTCATCCTCGCTGCATGTAAGCAGGGTTCTGCCAGTTCCAATCGGATGTCCGGAGGAGAACTTGGTAGGCTTCGGAAGGACCAGAACTGCATCCTCTGGCTTCAAGTCTTCCACCCGAGTTCCTGCCTGTTCAACTCTGCCGACCCCGGTCATGCCAAGGCAAACACCGGTCTTCTTGAGATCAGCATAAACCATGGAGTCGTCCACTGGTACAGCAAGCATTCGTACCAGCACCTCGTCATGGTCAATGGTCTTCTTCAAGGGCCGAGGCTTCACCTGCACCTGTACGGCGCCACCCATAGCTTGCCCGTAAGCATCGGTCTTGGGCGATCCCAGGATGTGCTGAACTGGCCCAGGGTGGTTGATCTTCGTTGCCAACTCGGAGGCATTGAAGAGGTGCGTCTTCATGAAGTCCTTATCAGTCAGGACCATGGCCTGCTGATCCCTCTGCCGGAGCCACTCGGCGAAGCCCTCTTCATGCGTCTGGTTTCCTGTGATGATCCGGTCCTTCAAGCTCACAATTGCTTTCTCATCGGCCTCCTTGCTGCGGGGTTCGAAGTGATGCCTGCCACCCGCAAATCCCTCCACGAACTCCTCTTCCGCAGACTTCTCGGCTCGGCCGGTGGTATCGTAGCGCCGGCGCTTCTCCTGGTCTGTCAAGACGTTGTAGGCCTTGTTGAGGAGCTGAAACTTCTTTGGGTCTCCGCCCTTGTCCGGGTGCTCGGCGAGGACCTTTGCACGAAACTTGGACCTGATCTCGTGGAGAGTGGCATCCCGGCCCACGCCAATGAGCTGGTAGTAGTCGGCCTCGGACATCGCTTCAAAAGAAGTAGACTGGGGCAGAGACACTGACGTTCTTGAGCCGAACCCACAACTTGCGGCAGCAGCTCATGTTCCAAGAAAGCTTGAAGGGCAAATAACGGCAGATTGCTCGTACCCGTCTTCATAACACGTCTCCTAAAACGTGTGCGTGCGTGTGCGTGTCTTTGTGTGTGTGTGTGTGTATGTCAGAGCTTGGGGCAGTGAGACGTGCGCACCCCTGGCATCACCAACTGCCTGCTCCAGAGTTCGGACCTTTGCTGGGGGGATTTCCTCTCCACAGACAGGCAAGGCCCCGAGGCCAAGGCTGCGAACCAAAGTCAGAGGCAAAGTAGTGTCCTCAAGACGTGGGGACTGGGTACATTTCCTGGGCTCTCGACACCGGGATCAACCCGAAACAAAGGAGCTCAGCTGAGGCAGCGTCGGTAACAGGACCTTGCCACAGTTCATTCACAAGATCCTCGGGATCATCGCTGCGAACCTGACAGAGAATCAGACAACAAGACCCGACGCAGCCAATCTGTCCGAAGAGGCCTTGTATCTCACGAGATCGACTTCGAGCAGGCATGGTGACATGAAATTCCCGCTGAGAGCTTTCCTGTCACTGTGCCGAACGAGTTTGCCTTCCTGGAGTGGCTGTGCGTTGTGCATGTGAGTAAAAAGAAGCAGCTGCATTGTTGGCTTGAAGACTAGTCTTCTCGAAGACTGCCCCTTGGGGCTTGAGCAAATGTTTAGCGTAACTTCGACTGCCAGAGCGTACGACGACTGACATGGCAGACAACAACAGCACACATCTACGGAACCAGCAGAGCGCTCTTTTCTGGAAGACGTGCGTCTGGACCATTTCCCTGAACTCATTCCGTTTGGCGTGACACGTAAACTCCTGACCCTGGAACGTTTCCACATGATGAAGACCTGTTTACACAGCAGAGTCGCAGGTGCGTCAGACGGCCTTTTGCAAGGCCAGCTCCTGCAAAGTTATGGCAGCCAGGCGAAAAAATGATGCCACGACGAGTTAGTTCAAGCGGCTTCACACAAAGAATCAATCACAAGAGCAGGTGTGCTGGGTATACATCTATACCTCTCCGGCCCTCTGTGGGCGGTTGGGTGCGACGAGGGTCCAATGCATGCTGTACGGCTGATATGTCACGTGTCCTGTACGTGAAGGCAGATACGCAAGGGTTCGTATGTGTTTCTATTTGACTGTATGAGTGCATGTGTTCTCCGAGGATTTCTGCTGCCACGATGATCCGTGTGTCCATGCTTGGATCTAGCATGTTGCGCCATTGCCATCGCAGCTCTTGCCGGAAGCATCACAGGCAAGCGCTGCGCTGGGAACCAGGGGAAGCAGGCCTTCTCCATTTGCTTCAGCAGGGTCTCAACATGGCACACTTCCTGCAAAGGGGGCATGCGAACGACGAAAGGCTTCGTGATGTCTTAGGGCAGACCGGACTGGGCCTGTTCGGAACTGTTTGGCAGTGCCTGGCCAGACGGATGTTGTCAGCTCAAGTCTCCAGTCTATCAGTCTATCAGTCTATCTCTATGAAGCCTAGGGACATCTACGGCATCTGCGTCGTGTCTGATTGAAACTGACTTCTGCTCACCAGCAAACCAGTAAACCAGCAAACGCAGTGTGGAAGTCTGCACTGGCTCTGTACAGGGAGCGCCGTGGCTAGATGCAGCCTCCCTCCTCACCATGCACAATCAATTGAAATTCGTCCAACTTGGGAACCTTTGTGGATATGGCCCATGATGGCAAAGACTGCCATGGCTCGTTTCTTGAGACAAATGGTGTGTAGGCTGCCCCCTTGGAAGCGCTGCCTTCTGTTCCTCACCTTTCTTTTGCTGCAGGTCCGCAATGAGCTCCAGGAATGCAGCTTCTTTTTCTTGCAAATCCAAGCGCATGTCCTGGACGTCTAGCAGCACATGGGCAGTGGCTCTGCAATGCTCTGCCCCTCCCGTCCTGCAGGCGCGTCTTCTCCTCGGGGCTGCAGTTGTCTTTGTGCTCTAGGCGAGCTTTGATCTGCCTAGCACGGCACGGCACTGTGGCGAAGACTACTCCCAGACATCAGAGAGTCGCCAAGTTGGCCTTTGGTTCTTCTGGGATGCGTTCTTCAGCCCTTGGAGGGTCTCCAGCGCTCTGGTGAGCTGCAGCTCGTTCATGCCCTCGATCTCCTGACAAAGCTGCGAAAAAACCAGCGATTCAGCTCTGGAGAGGTGGTCCTTCTTGACAGCTTCCATTACCTGCACCAGTGCGTCTTAAAAAAGGTCCTTCCGCCTGCCTTCCGCTCGAAGCAAAGATATGCATGCTGCATTATCATATTGTGCTCCAGTGACATCGAAACAGACACCACGCAAAAGCAGACACGGATTAACCTCGTTCACGTCGAAGCGCGCTTCCGGCAGAGGCCTCGATTCACAACACACCCGAGATCAAAATACTGCTCGTTTGCCGACTCTGTGGCGAAGCTGTCACCCTGCTCGATCTCAGAGATCTGCTGACGAGAAGGTGGCATCCAGTCCATGAGGCACTCAACTGCCTGAAGTTTTGAAGGCTGAGCAACACGGTCTTTGTAATCGGAGCACGCTCTATGCTTCTATGGGCTTCTGCTTCGCCCATGATACTGCAGCATCTCAAGCAGTGTACAAACATTGCCAGACTCACCCGCGCGCCCAAGGTTTCTGCGCACAGGCTCCGAGCTTTCACAGCTGCCGGCCTTTACGTCCTTTTCGTCACAGGCAGCCATGTAATGCACCGAAGAGGCAGCCATCGCCTGCATCATTAGCAAAGGCCAACCCACAAGCAAAACGAAGAATGTAGCATGACCTTGCCTGCGCAAAGGCAGATGCAGGACCGGGTGCTGTAGGTTTGCCACGCTTCGATATGGTTGTGATCGCACAAGTCCTCGCATCGCAACAGCACGTCTGGCTGAATACTGCACCGAAAACGAGCACGAAGCAGTCCTATCGCTCACGGCAATCTCTGTCGCCATCAGCATACCCTGCCCAGACGCTCATCACGATCACAAGCAAGACTCCAACTGCAGACAGATTTCAACCGGGGGGGGCCCCAGCATACCTGGCCGAAGCCGAAGACTGATCGCTCAAGCAGAGCTAGTATACGGTATTAACGGAGTATGGCAGTATGGTCGTGGCCATCTGCTTACGTCGCCTCATTCCGAGAACAGCTGATACGTCATGCGAACAGCTGCGAACATGTGAAAGCATGCTCAGTCTACGATCGTTGCTTTTCATGGGCCTTGCCGCTGTGTCCGCCGAAGACGAAAAGGTGTGGCTTGGTGGATGCAGGCATCTGGCCTTCAGAGCCAGGAGACGGAGGGATATCCCGTAGCCTACGGTTCAGTCCCGGTCGCACCTGTGAGGCCGCATTTGCTCGTCTCCGTGGAGATCATGCCTGTGAGTCCAGCTGTTTTTTGAACCCGTACTGAGCCTGAAACCAAGAAACCCTCTGATAAAGGGACCTTCGACGTCTCCGTAAGATGGCTCAGAGTGGCGAAACGGCTCAAGGCAAGTTTTCCAAATGAACCAGAAAGAGAACGACGTGTAGTCGATTCCATGACATTCGATCAACAGGTGCTTGAATGAATCCTGTCTGTCGTGGTCGTGTATCGACAGCCTGCGTGGGCTCGATCCTGCAAGGCTGAGCCTAGATCCGACCTGCTGCGCTTGGAAGGCACAACTGACATGTACGATGCCTTCAGACCACTTTCGGTCCCTTTGCACCCTTTCTTTTTGCGGCATGTTGTGCTGTGGCTGAGGGCAGGCCGTGCAGGTGGTATCCGCCCAATGCGGATCCACCTCTTAGACAAAGGCTTGCAAGGCCTGCTTCCGTCCAAGCCAAGCACTCGGGAGGAAGGAAGCTGGCCCAGCTTGGCCAGAAATGCGACTACTTGTCGATTCTTATAGAATCGGCGCGTGCATCATGCAACCAGGACTTGCTGTACGCCTAGTCTCGACCTAAAGCGCGATGCCTTCCTTCGAAGGATCACTGGGTGGCTCCTAGTCACTCAGGATAAGAACCGCATCTGTATGTGTCAGCTGTCAGCTCTCTCCAAATAACGACACGAAAAACTCGCACCTTCAGCGGGCATGTTTAGCGTGAAGCTGCCATGGCGACGCTGCCACGTTCGGTAGTACCTCAGGAATTGTTTCTCATAGAGGGTAGTACCTCAAGAATCAGTAGAAGCGAAGAATGTCAGCCAGGTCACTGCAGACAGAGCTCCCAGTTTATCCTGGGAACGAGTTGGACATGCCCGCGGGTGCTGTGGCACCAAGCGAGATTAGGGTGCAGCTGGTTCGCATGATTCGTCAATGCGGCCAGGGATCTTGAGGCAGAGACCCAGCAACAGCAGCATCCATGTCACCGAACTGCCTCATCACACAGATCCATCTGTGAACGGATTGTGCCCCCATAATTAAACTGGATGTTTGAAACTGTAATTAAATCGGGCTAAGCGCGTGAGATGCTCTCGAATCCAAATGCCAACTCCAGTACACGGTATGTCACAAGCTCCCCGGAATGCCTTCACGACCGAAATGTCAACCAACTTGCTGTCCCAACATCGTGACATCCCTTGACACATGCAGCTCTCTGCCAACGCCTAGTGCGTGACAGCACATGTATCTTTACCGGACTCTGGCCCGTGGCATCAGTCACACACACACGATGCTACTATGCAGATATGGTGGTCCGGTTCTAGCCCATGAAAATGAAGCTCGAGCCTGCAACGATCCAGGTGGATTGCAGAGCGTCTCCGAGCCCTGCAGGCACAACGAGCAAGGCAAGAGGAGCCTCTACCACCACCTGTATCTGCAGCCTGCCGGAAAGACGCAGATGTTGCTCAGATAGCCTTGGATGCAGACAAGAACAACGAGAAAGCTACAGCACCGGCTGCGCTGATTATTGCTTGCTGCTTGCCAGGTAGCAAGCAAGCAGAGTGGCCTGGTCAAGCTGCTGTCAATCGCGACAGACAAAACACAAACAAACACATTACACATACACCGAGCAGAAGGCTATTGCAGGCCTGCACCACAAAGCCCCAAGCCACACCACGCTTCCAGCGAAAACGCTTAATGGCGAAGAGCTCTACCAGGCCCAGCGTCAGCCCAAGACTGTGGGTCCTCGTCACTGACAGATGCCCCGGCACAAGCAAATGCCATCTGCTGCTGGAGCCCTGCTTCACCCTGTCCCCCACAAAATCAGCAGAGGTAGGTTGGACTGAAGAGTCAAGGCCATGGGAACCACCTGAGAAAACAGACAGCAACGGCAGAAGCAGCAGAGATCTCCGCGGAACATGCACAATGCTCGCATATGCAGGCCATGCTACTGCGATGGCCACGAGCAGGTGCGGCCCCGGACCGAGAGGATGGAACACCATGTGCGGATACTTCCTGCGCGACAGAACAAAGCACAAAGAACCCAAGCCACGCAAGCCCAGAGAACTCACTCTTCGCGTCCTGATCAGCATAACGACGGCCCCAACAAGTACGACGGGTGACCTGAACTGCACAACTGGGCCCTAGTTGACGCCAGAATGATGCAAGGTGTCAAAGATCAGCCAGGCTGCACCAAAATACAAAGCAGAATTCGCCCGAAACGGCCCACGCAGTCGGCAGAAGGCTGCCTCTCTTCTGGACCCCTCTTTCTTCGTACTAGTCTACCTGTCTAGCTCTCTCCGATCACAACTCCGCACACAAGGAACTGCAAGCGATTGCTTCATGAAGTCGTAGCTCGATGTGAGCAGAAACATTGCACTTTGGGGTAAGAGAAGCCTGCAGAACAACTTGGCCATGAGTATCAGCGTAGCACCAGCGAAAGGAGCAAAGTATATCCAAGACATGAATCCGGAGATGCACCAGAAAGCCATCACCTGGACAAACGGCTGAGCTTTTCGTGGAACATGAGAAACATAGCCGCTAGCCGCTGAAGCGAAGGCGGGTGGCTGTGATGGTGGCAGCAGCCTCAGCGATGTGCAAGGCGAGCAGCTTCGGCTCGGAGATGAAAAATCGCAGCAGGAAGCGATTCTCCGGCGGCAAGCGATACGGAGGCAGCGAAACCAACAGCACCATCAATCGGTAGATAGCCAGGACGGCGAATGCAGAGATGCCCAGGATGCGCAGGGGCAGTGACAAATGCAAGCTGCTGCTGTTCAAAGCACTCACCTCACAGGATCTCTGACAGGTTGCATGACATAATAGAGCCCCAGCCACATACGACAAGGCTCTGCGACTGGGAGGCTACTGAGACTACCAGGCTTCAGCTTAGCTTGCACCGTGCGAAGCCTGGTACGTCATGAGCAGAAGCACCAGCAACAGCGTTCTGCAGCACTGCGTTCCGAAATCGCGGCACTTGTGTCTGACCTTGTGGCATGCGCCGAATCTGCTGAAAACAAATCTGCCATCATGCAGCCATCACAGCTTATATTTATATACCTGGCCTTCAAAAGATATCATGGAAACAACTGGTGGCAGTTTCTCATTGCTTTACATGTGCTAGTCTTCGCGTCTATCTTTTGAGATGGGCTCCATGCTGCTCGAGTGGTGAGAGTGGCTCGGGCTGACGATGAAGGCACTTGGACCTGGACCTGGACCTGGACCTGGTGCTGTGTCACTTGCCATTGCTGCTTCAACCTGTTGGACTGTGGTTGTCCCGGCTGGCCATTTGCCATGAGTATCCGGCACTGGTTCGTTCCCTGCTGGGCAAGGTAGTGCACGCAGTGGTGGATCACAACTGCAGTTTTGCTTCTACTTCTGCACCTTGCGCTGTAAGGACAGTGTATGTGTCATCTTTGCTTTACGAGTGCTCCAGGCTGGAGCTCTGAGCTCTCGGAGGGCGCCTCGGTCTTTGCGCTTTGGGAGCGTCGAGCGTGAAGTCTCTTCGGATGGCTCCGCTCACCTCCTGCAGTTCTGTCCAGAGGCTGCCGAAAATTCAACTCTTGGCCAAGCAACGTTTACCTGGATTCTGAGCTCGTACGTCTAGCCCCCCTGAGGCTTCAAGTGAGGCGCTCTGTAGTGCCTAGAGGGTTTGGCTTTCCACGTTGCCTCTTCTCTCCGTTTTCGCGGTGTAGTTGCGAGTGCTAATGGGATTCTCATTTTTCCCAGTCGCCCAGGCGTGAGCCTTGCTACTGTATAGTCTTCTTTGCATAGTTTTTGTGTGAATAGGGCCGTTCTGGTCAAAAAAACCTACGGGTGAATCAGCTCTTTCTGCTGCTTGCTAACTTCGGGACTCAACAATTGTAAATAACAGGCTCGTGGACCTATTCCGTTTCTTGCGAACAAAAATTGGAAACAACTGGTGCTCTCCAAAACAGGCAGCCATCCACCACCCGACAGCAGATCTTTAGAGGTGTGCGAAACGTTGGCTCGAGCTCTTCTAATTCTGGTGCTGTCGAGGTTGCACTGCGGGGCCTCTTGAAAAGAGTCAACTAAGCGGCACACGAAGTCTCGCACGCCTGGTATCCTTTCGGAGCCATGATATGGCTGGTGACAGACAGAGCACATTGGAGGTGCATCGTTGGTGGCAGTCCGACGATGGTGTCGAATCCACTCTTCGACGCAGCTGGCATGAACACCACTCATAGAACCACGGCAAAGGCATGGCTGAATCAAAGGCTCATCCGTGGTGTCACGACAAATCCAGCATTCCGTAGGCTCATCAGAGTCTGGTACTGCAGCTTCCAGATCTCGAGAACTCGCCTCGGCCTGAGAGTTCTGTTCGGCCTCCCCGACCTGGGGCCCCTCGGGTGCCGACACCGAGACTGCGGGTTTCTCTTGAAACTCTGGGAAAAGGGCTGTAAAGGTGGAGGAGACAGCGTTCACTTGCCAGGACTCAGCGGCAAGCTTGCGGCGTTGTTCTTCTGGCGCCTGTACCGCCCCGTAGCCCTTCTCGCTGGAGATAAAGAAAGACAGAAGACCCACGAGGATAGTCTCTACCGACCAAGCCGGGTTCCAACTCTCTGGATGGAAGTCCGTCATGCTTAGACATAGCCGCTTCCCCGTCTCGAGTCTCCCACTTGGAGTGATCATGATGATCGCAGGTGGAGCGTGTGGGTAGGTGCTTGGAAAAAGAATCTTGCCATGGTAGCAGCCCTGGCTGTATGGAGTATCATTTGGAAGGGAATGAAGAACAAAGTGCCATTCCAATAGACTCTCCTCCCGGCGAACTGCAAAGCTGCATGCACATGTATGGATTCGCGTCAGAAGCAGCGATCCTCCGAGGGACGCACCAGAAGCTGAGGGTTGCCGGAGGCTTGCAAGGCTTCCAAGTCTTTCCGCAGCCGCCTCTCTTCTGCAGAACACGGGGCTGGGAGTGCGTTCACTCTCTCATGTAAGTCTTCCCCCTGTCTTCCCCTTTGGTGCCTCACAGCAGCACTAGACGCCGGTGCGGAACTTGAAGGCTGCTCTGGAGGTTGCATGAGTGCTTACAGAAGGAGCAGAAAATGACTGGGCTCAGGAGACTCCGTGTGCAGCTCTGTGCTACACTCTTATCTCGCGACTTACAGCAATGTATGGTCTTGCTCAATCATGCCATGCAAATTTGAAGTGAAGCTGGAGCGCGACGAGTGTAGGGACATCGTTCACACGGCACGCTACAGAGCGCGGTGCAAGTTCAAGTTTTCTGGCACTGCTCTGTCATGCGACGCAGCATCAGAGAAATCTGCCCAGAGCCTTCGTCAAAATCAAGACTACAGACAAGTTGTCTATCTGAGCAAGGCAACGTGAGGCTGATCTGCCTTTTGCGAAAGTCTTCGCTGAGCGGGGACCGCCTAGCACAGCCGTAGCATGGCCGTCAAAATGTCGAGGCCACCACCGAGCCAGCGACGTATTGCGAAGCCCACAGCGCACAGGAAAGCGTCGAGGCGGGGGCCACCTCGAAAGAAACGCAAAGCCAAAAGCGACTATCAAAGACTCGGCGTGGTTGAGGACCTGACGACGGGCGGCATCGGTGGCATTGCTCCCCAGGGACCGGGACCCGCACCAGAGACCGGCACGGGGGGCAGGGCTCCCATGCCCAGGCCTTGAAAAACACACCGGTGACAGGTCTTCGCGCTACTTCGACCAAAGCAACTGGCGCTCACAACACGCACTGCTTCCACCTGAACTCGAAAACGACGACCACGACTGCTACTACGTCATTTGTATTTACATGAATGCGGTATGAACTTGTCACTCGTGTTTGTCTGCGTGTCGTCATCTTGAGCACTGGTGTACTTGCACATTGCATTCATCCTATGGTACAACACCAAAGCCACGGCGGATTTCGAGCGCCCAGGCCTGGGCCAACCGGGGGCAGCGCGCTGCTGCTCGTGAAAGGGGGTGCCTGGGCTGCATGTCACAGAAGGCAGGTCTGCAAAAGCACCGTTTTTCTGGGGACCCGGGCAGGAGCGCTCACTGGTCCCTTGGAAGCAAGTCTTCAGATCAGTGAGTTTTCAGGATTCCTGGATGCTTCCGTGAGACTTCATGTTCAAGACTTCATGCTCCCGAAGCTGCCAAGACTGGCCAAGTGTTCCCGGAGCCCGTGGCCCCCAGGTCCCGCCTTGGACAAGGTATCTGCGGCCAGCTTTAGCCTGAGAGGCCCGGCGCGACGTCGGAGCGCTGTCGCAGGCCCCTCCTCATCCTCTCGCTCCTTCCCTCCCTGCCTTGTGGTCACAACATCACCGAGGGCCTCTCTCTGTTACAAGCTCAACTTTGCTCTCGCTTGAAATTCGCTGAGCTGGCCTTCCACATGGCAGCTTCGGCTTCGGGTCCTGCCGGCCCTGGCACTGGGAGAGCTCAAACTTCGAAGCAACGAAGCCACGCTTGCGCGAACCCGTCGGGTGGTGTTTTTCTTGGAGGACTCTTGTGCCAACTTCTTGTGGACTGCACTCCTGCAGTGCGAGTACTGAATGCCTACCCTCCTTTGCATGCCTGGAATACTTATCATGATCTGCTAGGGTTAGGGCACATGGGTTGCACTGCTCTACGAATCCTGATCGCCGCAACTCCATATGCAAACATCATCCGCATCTCTTCCGTTGAATTCGTCCCAAAAAAACACCTTGAAGCTGCCGTTCGTAACTCTGCCGACCCGAGCAACCAGCAAGTTTATCGATGTGGGCTGACTGGCTCTGGTTGGGGAAGCATCCTGGGAGCCCACCTTGCTAGGTCTAGCTAGAGCGCTAGGCGCTAGCGCGGCCTCCGGAACTTCCTGAATCGTTCGCAGCGTCGGAAGGCACGACAGCTTCCTCGATCGAACCGGCGCCTGAAAAAGCGATGCAAGCAGGATGCAAGCATGGCTCAACTTTCTACACGAGTGGTCGAGGCCCCGGCGTCCCACAGGTATGACTACCGGGAACGCAGGTCCTCGTCTTCCGTGGCTCTCTCCCCCCCGAATGTTAGCCTTTTACAAGGAAGCACGCACACTCGAGGAAAGCGGGTCCGACATCTCCCGTCAGGCTGGACGGTTCGCCCATGGCTGCAAGCTGCACAAGCTCAACGTGCTCGTGAGTGTACGTCTGGGACTCTCATGTGTCAGGTCACCTGTGGAGTCGGGCTATGCACTTAAGCTGCACGGATACCATCGCTGGCAGTATTTGCATGGCTGGCTGCCTGGCCAAGCGGAATTATAGGTAGGCCCATACAAGATCGGGTCCCCGGCCGTTCCTCTCCCCCCAACTGCAGAAGCACCGCATTTTGTAACGCTGTTCGCTGAGCCAAGCCTTTCCAGTGCAGAAGGAAGCCTTGTCGTCTCATCGCCACGGAGGTCTCTAGCAACCTTCGGCGAATCCAGTTCATGACGAGACGAGTCTAAACTTTGCGATGCCAATCACAAAGTAGATGCTCGTGCAACAGCCACAAGGCTTGCAAGAGCAGCGATAACGCGACTGCAGATCCAGGCAATGCCTTTCTGTACACCGTGTGCGCGCAGCGTGGTGGAGGGAGTGCAAACTTCTCCGAAAATCGTTCACTTTGTCATGTCGGTGTCTTCCTGGGCACAGTCCACGCTGCCATGCAGAGGCTTTGAAGCACGGGCTCACTTGCATGGCCTCATGGTCAGAGCAGACAGCGTCAACCACCTGTACAAGATCGAAGTCTTCCTCGGACCTGCCATTGCAGTTCAGGAACGTGTTCAAGCAGGCATGCGCAACGCTGGCTGCTCGCCAAGGGGCTTGTTTTCCGGTTCGGACTCATAGCCAGCCATTCCACGTGCAACCTCCGTCCAGGACTTCACGGTGAATATCAGGACACCTGCAACTGAAGCTTGCGGCAGGTGGCGGCTTATCGATGGAGCACGCAGAGAGAGCAGAAACAGCATCCCAGGGCTGAGACATAACCGAGCCTGCCATCACCTCGGATCACACTTCGCTCCACACTCTTAGAGCCCTGGACTGTCTTTGAGCTGCCCGCCAGGAGCATGCTGAGGAGGCGGGAGAGGTCCAATTTCACCACATGCCCCGTCCAGCCAGCCGCATCGATCACCGCACTAAACGCGAGCTTGCCCACTAGCCTCAAGTTTAGGCGTGCAGCACAAAAGCTGGAACGACGCTCCCGTCACCCATCCTGGGAAGAGATCAAGGAGCATGACGAAGTAGTTGGCCTTGCACGGCGGAAGCACTCGCATCATTGCGCGAATTGCGCGAAACTCTGAACTCAGCGTCCGACCGTGTAACCCAGGAGGCCCGGCAGTACTGCCAAAGACCCATTGTACAGCGCACTCTGGGCCGAAGCCAAGAGCCACCTGCCACCCAGTTGGCTCGTTATCATTTCGTTCAGAATCTTCCGATAGCATCTTTTGTCCAAGGAAAATTTCCAGACGAATCCCTCTTGCAACCCACACGGGCTTCGCTTTCGCTCTGCCTGTTTCTGTTTTGCTTCTTTCTTTGCTCCCTGCCATCGTACCTTCCCAACGAGGAAATTGACGATTCTTCTCGCAGGCTGCCACCGCAACAAAACCAACTCCTGCAGGACAACTATCCTCCCTTTTTGTGCTCGTCCCGCTTTGACAGCCTAGCCTGTGCAACAAGAGGCTCGCCGCGCCTCAAGCCAAAGTCTACAATAAAGGCTCTCGACTTCTCAGGTCTTGAGATTCAGCAAATTCCACAAAACACCTTCATCGACGGAGGAGAAGGACAGTAAAGATTCACCGTGAGCACTGCCTTCCCCCGGGATCCCCACAACAAGAACACTACCACCGCTTCTCTGGCGATCACCAGCGCAACAACCCATATCATCGCTCGAGGGACTGATACATGGAAAAAGGCCAAGACACACAACACGACGATGAGCAGAACTGAGAGGAAGAGAATATCAAATGGATTAAGATTGAGATGGTGATGAGACTTGTCTCGGCAACATGACTTCCAACAAGTGTCTTCAAGAGGAACCGTTTAGTTAGCGGTTGTCGCTTGCTCCGCTGACGTCTAAGCGTGGGACCACGGCCAATCCGAGGCAAAGAGCTCAGGGTGGATGCCCTTCCCAACGTAAATCCACCACATCAACGGTATTCGGCAGATGACCTCCGTGGCAAATGGTTACGGAACAAACAAGAAGTTGATAAACAGCAACGAATAACATGCTTAGTGTTCAGTCCGAGAGCCACCACAACTGCGCAAACGACAGTGGCGCGGCTTGCAGAACCCAGCTCCAGCGCCAACTGCGAGTTGCACTTCGCCATGAGTGCATAGCCAATCCCACAAAAAAAGGAAACTATTACCCACCTGGGCAGCGTCACATTACAGTACATGGAACCACGTCGGATCAAAATCTCATCGAAAGACCGCACAGGCAAACTTGCTGTTTCAAGCGCATGAAGGATTCGGCGGTGAACTCCTTGACTTCTGCGCCAGCTTCTGGAAACAGAATATCTCCACCATAATTTCTGAGTGTCGGAAGCTGGGCAAGTTACACGAAAGTCGGCACAGTCTGACAACGTGTCAACGAGGTGAACCAAGCCACAAAACCACGGCAATGAGCACGATTGAGAAGCCCACTATCCGGCGAGGCTCTGACCAACGAAACTTGCCTCAGCACAAAGCATGCTCCCGGCTACACAATTCCCTGCGACGAACTTCCTGGAACAATACTTTGGAAACCCTTTCTGCAGCTTAAGCGGCGACTGGCACAATCAAAAACCATGCCACCGGCAAGCATGCCGGATAACATTGCCAAAAGGACGATCTGCACGCCCAAATGTCTGAAAGCCGGCACAGTCACGAACTCGGCGACAATCATGACCTCGCCACAAAAGCCAGGCATCGCATGATGCGCAACATGAAAATGTTTCGCCTTGAGCAGAACAATAAATGCTTCAAGGAACGCCGCCAAGAAGTGAATACCTGGATCTAGGCCTACCCCACGGCTCCTGTGGCCAGGCGCAACAGTATGAAACTACTCTGGACATAAACATGATGGCAGAGCACAGCAGAGCTACGTGGGC